AGTAGCCTAGCTCATCGGCTAATTTTAACTTTTTTTTAATCGGTTTGGGTGCGATTCTCTAACATTGAGTAACACGAAATTAGACTTTATTTAGTGATTTTTTAGCCTTTATATTTAAGTTTCGACGGGGAATGTTTCGAGCTGGCCTGGCCAAAGCCCTTTTTTTTTGATTATCGGATATGACACATGCGGTACCTTCACATTGAGCTTATGTATATTCCTGCTTGCGGTCATGATTTCTATTTAAGCTATGCTATTTCGGTGGGGGTCAATGCACAGGAGAGAGGTACGGTGTCGAACGAAATGGCCAACAGCACATGAAGAATCTTTGGCCCAACTGCTAAATGGCACTAACGAAATTTTTCCGATAAATTCTCTGACCGTAATCACTGTTAGCTCATAATTCATACGTTCCCAACCGAAGTACTCGCTATTTTGAGTTTAGAGACCGCACCATTAATTTGCGAAAATTATAAAATCAGATATAACGGAATACTGAGCAAGTATTTAAAGATCCTCTGCGAATCATTTTTGTGGTGATATTGAATGCCCTTCAGCTATGGTGTCAGCGGTCGTTGCTTCGAGTTATATTGACACAACAATATTCTGTGTTATCTCATAATTGATAAAGTACTAAATTTATCATAAGATATAGCAAACGAATAGTTTATCAGTCTTTGGTCTCCGAATTCTTCGGTCCGGGCTAATAGCTAGCTACGCATGTAATACTTTTGGTTAGACAATTTAATGATGAACTTAAGGACATCGTCGAATAAAGCTTTTTGCATCTATGAGCGTCGGTAACCCGCTGGTCTATCGAGAAGGATTCGCACACGCGAATTCGCTATTTTTTATGGCGCTAGCAATAAGAACTAGAAAACACATACGTAATATAGAATCAAGGAAAAGTGTTTTGTTATAAACGAGCATAATTGGTTATAAGGTCAAATCAAAAAGTATTCACTGTTCTCTTTCGGTCCCAAAAGTATATAATCGTATGTTAAAGAAAATTGTCAAATATGATCCTTCCAGAAGTTGATAACAAAAACTACTCCTCCACAATTTTATTTAAATCGTTGAAGCAGTCCTGAACATTTGTACAGTGTGCGAATAGTACGTGACCATTATGCGAATCGTTTGAGAATTGTCGAAAATGATCATTTCAATGTAAGTTATGTCCCTCGTCTCAGTAGACCGCTTCACTTCTTTAGAAGGCAACTTACCAATCGAGCAGATATTTGAGCCTGGGCAGTTACAACACCATCTTTTATCACCACTACCCGTCATAAATGGGATTTGCTCGGAAAGTTCATGTAATGTAAACAAGAAAAATCAGTTTACCTGTATAGCCCAACATCTTTCCTGGCACTGATCAGTTTGCTTTCACAATAACCGATTTTTGTATAGATTCATCCTGCGAGATAAGACAAAGCATCTCTATGTAAACACAAAAAATACAAAGGTAGGGTAGCAAACCTCGGCCTAAGTTAATCAGAACCCTCATCCGATTATCATGAGCTTAATCATTTGCATGTGGCCGGACCATGATTGTTTGACACATTAGGTAATGTTTGGACAAAGCACTAATAGGATTGGTCAGCAGCTCTACCAGCTGCGTCGCATGAAAAACTCTTTGCCAAAAAAAGGCCTAACTGTCAAAGACCATGTTCTGTGGCAGCATAAAACTACCACTGCACAAATATTGAATACCTTCCAGAAAGAATTCGAAGAAAAGGTTTTTGACGACCTTTCCTCTCCTTCGAACCTAACGTCGATAAATAAGAAACTTTTGGGACTAAGAGGGAGGCCTCAAAATTTGGCTGAGCTTCTTCAAAACCGAACTCGTCAGATCCTCTTTGAAGAGAGTCAGTTATTCGTTCGAAACTAATGTAATCGTTTTCATTAAAAACACGCCTTGTTTTTGGGCAGAAAATAGTGGGTATTTTGTGGTGGTCAACCTAAACGTTTCCGAGTTATTTTTTGTGCGATATCCGCAGCACATCGAAAGTGGTCACTGAACGATCAGAATCTATTGCTCATTCAATGAGAGCTCTGTTGTGTAGTGCGGCTGCGAAGTGATGAGTCATCTCAAGAAAATAAAACAACGTATTGCTGGTGGCAAAAATCACGGCATCATTAATCTGATCAGCGCAAAGAAGAGCTGCCCTAAAGGATGCCATCAAGTCTTTCTGCACTTTGCACTGCCGCATTGGTCTACCAAGACTTACTTCGACTAAGTACTTCTCAAGGAGCCTATAATAATTTTATACTTGTAAAAGTGTATTTTGCAGGTTAATTGTGGCACGAAAGGAGAGATGGAGACCATTTTCGACTAAGAATATTCCACAATATATAAGCCATATATGCTTCCGCCTGTTGGCTTATGAATGATATCTAAGGTTTTATGTACCCAAAATCGTTATTCATTTCACTGTATATAAAACACAAACGCTACCATCTGAAATAGGATCGTAGTCGTACGACTATGCCTTAAATAAGGATCCTATGGTCGTTTCTATTGTGCCGCAAGCTGCGAGTGGTTTATGTCGATCAATCGACAGCCGAAACAAAGGTCGTCGTATCGTTCGTCGTTCTGAGTGGAAAAGTCTGCCGCTGCATCCCATTTGAACTAACGGCACAGATCGTTAGAGTTAGCAGCTGTAATGCGTATTGTATTTAGTGTTTATTCTCCTGCGTACGTTGCATAAAATACGACAAATTTAAGACTTCATCCATTTTGTATACCTTACTTTTCATACAGATGAAACTGAGATGTTCTACTCAGTTCGCGAATTAAAGACGTGGTTATTTGTGTGTTCAGAAGCTAAATTAGTCGTTAAATGGGGGTATACAAAATGAATTTTGAATCGGTTCCAATGTTCAATTTTGTGCTGCGGTATCTCCCTGAACAATAACTGGCATATAAAAAAATATAGGTATTTTTCTATTCGAGTCAATCGCGATTAGTTCAGTGTTTATTTTATTAATTTATTGTTAGTAATGTTATATTAAACGTATTAGAAGAAAAAACAAAAGAAAAATCGTTCATTATATTATGATGACAGTGGTTCCGACTCTTACCGTTTGAGGCATCGGGGGCAACTTCATGGGGTTCGGTCATCTGTTCTTAAATTAATTAAACAAGACAATATCATCAAACAAAAATGCCATGAACTCTATGTAACATATGTACAGTGCACTGGCAGGTCTAATATAGCTCTACATCTATAAAGTACCCTAATAATGTTGTAATATATAGCACTAAGACAATCTATAACACTAGTAATGTCATGCGCGCAGTTGTTTCCGTTTATTACTGAAAATACTGACCAATTGTAAATACAAATAAATAATTAAATTAATAAAAAGTTCTCTCAGGAACAGCTGCAACATGAGGCGCCGGATATGCTGGTCCGTAAATGAGTAATTAGGACAATAGCATGCACATATATATCTACATAGTATTCGACATGTGCACACTAATTACGATTGAAAGATGGAAGAAAACGTTTACTTTACGATGTGTGCAATCATTTGAATCGCTTTATTAATTAATGATTAGCTAAGAATAATGATAATAATAGTAGCCCAAAATTAATATCTCGTGTTTGCCACAAAACAATCTTGAATATAAACTTTACGTAAGTGACAACATGTCGATCGACAAGCGAAAAACGTTTCGGAGAACTTACGTACTATGAATGAATCCACTGCCCATTCGATTATAAAAATTGTGACCGAATTCTCGGAACGATTTTCAATCCACGCGTGGCTCTTTGTCAGTGACTAGCTTACCAAATTCTTTTAGTCTTGGCCACCGGTCTTTGCGATGCAACGCTGTCACCGCTTCCAGGTGGTTCGATCAATTTTGTACGTTATTTATAGGATATGAATAAACTGGTCAGTAGGTAGATAGGGGAACCACGACTAAAATACTTATTCAAAAGAGAAATATGGAAAGTGATGTATTTATGGTTATAATATAAGGACGTGTGAATACTCGCAAACGTTACCACCGATAGTGTTTCCAGAACATTATATTGAATAATATTCCGCACTAATTCATCAAAGTGATAGATATATGAAAGAGTTTACTGCAATCATCGTCACGCGACTTAACTTCGAAATGTATTTTCCTTAATTCAACTCATTGAGTACCTAGCGCCCTCCTTTTTTTACCGCAACGAATGCTATACAGCCAACGCCAGCCAACAGCTTCTTTAAATCTTTTGCATTGCTATTATATGCACACACAACTTTTTATCCACTTGTTTCCATGTGATTTTTTTACGGTTGCTTTACCACATCTTTGCATCTCCTTTTTTGTCAGGATGGTGTTAGAAATTTCCGTCCATACGAAACGAATAAATTAGGAAAAACAATATAAACCACCATATCCAACATGTTTATGATCGAAAGCCGATCTCGAAGAGATCGAGAGAAGAAAGCAAAGAATGAAACGAATAAAACGGACGTGCTATGCTTGAGAACCTGGACTGTGATTGAATACAAGCGTATTCGATTAATTGGGAAGCGAACGATGTCAGCAAGATAATACTACCAATGAGTTGCGCATTGTTTATGGTCATTTACAAAAATGAGTAGCCAATGTAATGGCAGCATCATACAGTCGTAGGCACTCATTATTTGGAAATATTTTTACGCACATAAATAGTTGAAGTAGCGAATAGTTGGCAGCTAACGAATAAGTTTCCCTAACTGCAAGGCTATTTTTATCCCCTTATCTGCCCTCGCATTTTCATTAAAAGTGTGCAGTGAGCGATGATGTGCGAAACAGAATAGGCGCTATAGGGGAGGTACGGACACAAGATTATTTTAGACTTCTGTTTCACTATGTCATGAAAGACTTCAATCACTAAAGCCGTACTTAATATTAAGCGATCAGTAAATGCATTGTAAATTTCTGGATTAAAATTCATATCCCTTTCTGACACCCGCTAACGGTTCTCGTACGACGTCGCAGGTCAGTTCGATTACATGCTGCACTCTCACCCCAGAACCAACACAGCTTCTCTTTTTCTTAAATGTGTCGATCACTGGCTTCACCAGCTGGCTCTTCGCTTGTATTCTATGATAGATTCTCGCCCTGCCATATTTGCTTAAAGCAAGGTTGTTAAGAATTTTCTTTTGGTTCATTAGGAGGAGCCGGCGTGTGCTTCTCTATTCGCATTTATCAGTGAGTATCGGTTAGTTCGAGTTGATTTATAATCTATGTTCCCTTTTGGTGTAGAGTTTAAGTTATTGTGTTCGAATTCCAACGCCAAAACATCACGTGTAACGTAGTAAAGGTGAACTATCTGGCTGCCTTGTACCTCTATTGCCTATGTATGAGATCTATTTTCCTTCGTTTTTCTACCGTTAGTTTACCTACGCCCCCTAGACTTATGTGCGCGTATACGTAGCGGATGTTTGGGCGTCGAAGCGTTGTGAGATTTGTAAGCGTTTAGCTCTCTGATAGTGTGTCTCTGTGTGTGAGATCGCAGCAAAGCAGCGATATTAGTACGACTATCACGGTAACTATTGTTGGGTGGCATTAAATAAGAGAGAGAGAGACCCCTGTCAGCAGCTGGGTAAAGTTCTGGGTACTGCTAATTTCTGTCGTTTTACTCAGCGATCTGTTGGCATGTCACACAAATGGATACCGAACTCTCCGTACCATAATCTTTCATACTTATTATATTCTCTCACCTTACCATGTTGTGTAGTGGGTCGTATAAGCTGAAACACACGCAAAATTGATTGGCTCAATATCGGTGATAATATATAGTTAGGATATGGGATCGGAGAATAGAAAAATCCGCCTAATTTATGGTATCACCTACCACTTACGTTACAGAGGTAGGCAAAATTATAGGCAAAGCCTATAGCCAATTCTTCAATCACTCTTATATTAGCTACCAAGGATATATTAGATTTAACTATATATCACTTTCTACACAGGAGAAGCAACAATCTGTAATTAACGGCGGCGAGACCGTTTCAGCTTGAAAAAGCTAATCATGCAGAGTATCGTGAACACAATAAAAGGTCGAGCAATTGACCTAGCTGCGCAAATCACACCAATCCTACGAGTAAGCACTATTAAGTAATGATATAGCTATCGGCATCGCATTGTCATTGATAATAAATTGCTCAACTTGTCTAGAGACGCCATTTTTCCTAAGTTTAATGTCGAAGACCGATTATAATCGATATTTAATGGACTAGTGGATTCTCACACGATTTCACACAACACCTGTGACTAGGAGTCGAAGTTCCGCGAGAGTGGAATGCTTACGCCGGAGGAATTTGTATTAGCCGGTGACCATCTTGTTGCTACCTGTCCCACATGGGCATGGGCTAAAGGCGATCCTTCATGTACGAAGTCATATTTACCTGAGGTGAGACATCAGTAACACTTTTTTATCACTATATTTTTATCTGATTGCTGGCATTGTTTTTTTTTCAAAATTGATGCCAGAGTACAGGTTTATTTCTCAAGTACTCCTGGACTCCTCTTGAAAACGTTGAACAACCCCAGCTAGCTATAAGCTGAATACTTCTACAATTTTCATATATTTTTCAGGATAAACAATTTCTCGTCACCAAAAACGTTCCATGTTCGAAACGCTGCAGAGATATGGAATATAACAATGAAAGCGAAAAGGTGATACCACACACTGGGCACAAATAACGCAAATAATACCACCATTATTGTGATGGTTAGACGGCTGAAGCCTTTCTTTCTTCTTTCTTTTTGTTTATAGCGCCTATATAGAACCTAGCCAGTTTCAAAAATTCGCGCGCTTTCAATACACGTTTCACTATCTTTACTACTACAGAGAGTTTTTACAACGTTTTAGATTGATAATTGGATAGAATCACTTATTTTTTGTTTTACGTTATTATGCTGAGGTAGATAATTGAAGGCGAGGGTCTCGACGAAGGCTGGGTGGATACACACTATTACGCTGCACAAAATGCTCCCACAGTTAACGACAGTGCATCCAAGGTACAGTGCAATTAGTACTTTAGTTGTTATCAAGCGATAAAGACGAGTGTTTGACAAGGCGTGTCATCGTATGCGACTGAACTTATAGTAATAATAAAAAGACATCCTGATATGAGCCTACATGTAGAAGTCGTAACCTTATAGATGATACTTCTCTTACGGTACGCAGATATACAAAGGATCACTCAATTCGAAATATTTAATATGCCGATGACTTATCTTCGGCCTTGTGAACTACCTTCGAACTACCTACTTATTCAGGGGACTGATGACACATATAAAAACAACTTCGATGCAAAAGCGGCCAATTTTGAGAACGATGAAGATAATGAAGATGATGAACTGGAAGGGGTCGATATGGATGACTTTCTGGAAAAACTCGACGAAGATTTGGAAACAGCGCACTCGATGGTGAAAAAGGCAGCTCTTGTTGATCCTACCGTTACTTCGGCCGATGACGGCTCAGTAGCTGGGGATGGCGAGGAGGAGATCCTCGCTACAAGAACCTACGACTTGAACATAACCTACGACAACTACTACCGAACGCCCCGGCTTTGGCTGACCGGCTACGACGAGGTAACAGCCAACTCCCTGCTTAATCATTACCTAAATCGGTGTATGATATGAATATGTATTGGCTTATATATATTTATACATATGTTACTGAACATTCAAATAAGGCTGCCTTGAGGTTCCACATACTGTCGACTTTAATCAAAGATATCTCTGCGCCTAAACGAATATCTGCATGTGAGTTTTTCACATGAAAGCTGCCTCATTCTATTTTTTTCATGATAATACATGTGGCGGCACTGTATCAAGAGAAGCATCTTTAAACTATTGTGGACTGGGATGTATAGTGCAATGGCCGTTGATCACAACGTGTGCTAACATTTGAGCCACACGCACAATTTATTTCAGTTTTCCGTTCATGGAAAGATATATATGATTTGAGCAATTATCGATACTCTAATTTTTTTAATGACAACAACATTGTTGTAACCACAGATTTACTTTAAAGCAAAAGAATCATCTCCACGCTTATGTAGTAATGGGATTGCTAAAAGGCCACACGAAAGAGTAGCGGACTATAAAAGAAAAGCGATTGCAACGAAAAATGAGTGGGTCCCAAATAAAAAAAAACTGGCACACACAAATCGAGGACGATGCACAGCGTAGCGAGAGGACAGGACCATTCTAACCGAGCTACAAAAAAAAACAAACGGTTTGTAATGGTTTCCTAATTATGTCGGTAGGTGGCTCAGGATTACTGCATCCTCAGTGACTGTACGACGTCGTACCCTAATAAGTGATTTTAGGTGTCGTAAACTAGCCAAAAAAATCGGCTAAACTTTGCACAGAAGTATGCGTGTTTCAAGTGGACTAAGTAATTCTGAAGTTCAATTTATTGGAAAAGGGTCTGTTGTTTTGAAATTGAATAACTTTGTTGGGTCTAACTAAGTCGTGTACAGGCGATTCGGCGAAATATTCTACGGTGCTGTGTAATCCAGCACGTCAAACATCCGGATGTAATAACGGTGTAGGCCGTAACTTCCATCCGGGATGCAAAAGCCCCGCATTTTTTTTGCGAAAAACGCCAATATTTTAAGGCAATTTAAAGAGAATGCTGCCTAAGGTAAAGAAGTGGTTCCGGGATGGAAACTGTGGAACCACCATAATCTAAGAATTTATCCATAACCTGAAAGTTCATCTGACGTGTGGCAGTATGTCAGAGGACGAATTTCTCAAGACTTAGAAGAAGAAGAACTCAAGACTACAAAGTTGGATCTAGGACATTAGTGCAACGGAGAAGTGTATTTTTAGTGCCTTTCCTTTAACAGAATTTTAAACAAACTCATTTAGTAATAATATTGTCACATAACAAAACGTTTTTGTATTGTTTTAGTTAAGTTCTAGTCTTTTTCAACTATCTAGAGCAAAACGAAGACATTTTATGATAAAATATGAAAAGGATTTCGTGGATAAGTAAATACCAACGCGACTTCTAATACGGTTGTATTAATCACAATGTTTTCATACCATAGCCTAATGTAGACAAGCAAGAAGTCTAAGCCTCGTTTAATGTCATTTTAGTTAGTTTTTCTGACGTCTGCATAAACAAAAAAAGTCTGAATATTTACCGGCATAGAAGTGTATTGTTTAAGTAATGTGTGCTATAGCTTCTGGGACTTGATGAGTATCTCATAGTTTGTTATTCCTGATGTAATAACAGACCAATAGACCGTTTAACTTACTATTGTGGTCTATAGATCTGGTTCGACGTTTGCAGCCAGTTGTGTGCTAAGTATAGTATGCTTTCAATTATAAATCCATCAAAATATATTCAGTGATAGAAAAAGTGCACCAGCAAGCATTGTCAATATTATACACGGTGTAGCTCCTGTCAATGATAAACCATTTTAAAATTGCAGAAAATGAAGCCATTGACGACGGAGCAAATCTATGAAGACATCAGTCAAGACTTTGTAAAGAAGACGGTAACAGTCGAGAACCATCCACATATTGAAGGCGTTCCACAGGTAAAAACAAGAGCTTGAAATAGCATTCCAGATCCCTCGCTTAATTACTTGGCTTGCTCCATTGCTATTTGTGTGGTCAACCTTATTATCCATCGACCGTTGTACTAAATTATTCCTCTCATTTTTGAAAATACTTCGAAGGTTGTATAATGTTGAACGCACACACCTCGCAACCTTTTCTGAAATAACTAGAAGATACCAGAGCCAAAAGCTGTGAGGCACTCACGCCGGGGATCGGCTAGCCAAAATGCAAATTTCGAATAGCTAATTTTAGAGGGGCCACCTCGCTGGATGCGACATGAACCTTTTTTTGCGAAAGTACTGTTTCTTATCGTTACTTATTCATTTCAGGCATCCGTGCATCCTTGCCGCCATGCACAAGCAATGAAAAACCTAATCCAGACCGTCGAAGAAGGCGGAGGCTCACTTGAGGTCCACATGTATCTCATTGTCTTCTTGAAGTTTGTTCAAGCAGTAATTCCTACGATTGAGTATGACTATACCGCCAACTTCAACATGAGTTAGATAGTCCGGCCCTTCTGTGCTCTAGATCGAAGAAACTAGGAGAAGTCAGCTAAATCTCATATTTATAACGGCAAACCATCCGATCTACAAAAGACATTAAACTAAAGTCCGATCGAATTCACACCCCTCTTCCCGGATAGCGGGACAAAGCATCACGCCATACATTTAACATGGTTTATTTGTTCACCGCAGTTGCAGGCGCAATCGCGATCACAATTAAATAATACCGGTTGTTATGTCATTATAAGTTGAACGTCGAATACGAAAACACTTGTATATCCCCCAGGCACGGAATATACAAAAAATACGAAGGATCGCAGCCACGAAGTTGATAAATTTCGCCGATGAAAATAAGCTGAAGCTCACGAAATGACTGTTATTCACATCTATTTTCACATTTATGTAATAAAACGAACTTATGTAAGTAAGTTCGTAAATAGTTGGATTGAACGAACAGGTTATGTTATTCACGTACGCTACCATAATTATTAGGGGTGATTCACGTCTTTGGCTCGAATGGTAGCTTACTCGCAATGAGATTGTCGATATATAAGTTTATTGGAATGAAACAACACGTACTACTTAGTGTCATTACCGCCAGTAAATTGATGACACCTAATATGTGTATATGTATATCTATTCTCGTTTATGCTGTATGATATCAGCCGGCCGCAACAGGTGCATTTTTGAGCTGTTAAACTCTAGGAAGAATATTAATTGAAAACAAAAATACTGTGACTTGGCCCCAACTTCAACAGTTTAGCTAGTGAAATCACCGCCGATACGGCATCTTCATAGCCACAATTTCTTATTTTCGCTTACGGCTGTAATTTAGAAGAGCTATTTATCGTGTTATGTGTTAGAATAGAAGATGCGTTATGTGATGTATATCGGCCTGGAAATAAATAGATGTTTGTTAAAATTTTCTCTTGTCTAATCGATCATAATGGTTAACTCTCAGCTTACTTAAGTTTAACTGTATAACCCCGATTAATTCTCATCAAGCAAAATCTTAACGTTGTTTATTTTAAATGGTGCTGAAGTCGCTTTGTTAAAAGTAAAAGATAGAAGACGTAATATTGGTTTGGGCTGCACTTCGAATACCATTAGAGTAAATGCTTTATGTAAATGTGGGAGAGATATTTACAAAATATGTCAGTATTCAGTATGAGTTAATTTATTATAACAATGAGTGAGTTTAAAGGAGATGATACTCATTTTCGAACCTTTCCGGATTCTTTCTCCAACTCCAATCGGGAGCGCTATTGCCACAGACCTATTATTCCGATCAGTAGTTGTATATCATTACACTCACAAAATGCTTACGGCACGGTTTGATTCTCCGTTAGAGAATGAAACTAGAAGCTTTTGTTTCTTTCCAAGAAAACCTATTTGCTGGTTATGTCTAAAGCCCTTGTTTGGACCAACATTCAGTTGATAAGAAATGACAAGGAAACAATAATATCGATATTTATGATTCCGTCGGTGACAAGAAAATACACATCGTATGAATATACGATGTGCATATATATATATATATATTAGTGTTCTAAAGCTAAGAGCTTTGATCTTGGCGGGCTAATAATATGGTAATGGTTTAACGGCAAAAAAATAGCACTCCTTCGATTCTCGTTCAGAGTAAGAACATAATTTATTCACAATAAAACGTCGTTGCGCGCTACACCTATTATATTTATATTAGATCCATTCACTCTAGGTATGTACAGGCTATCATACAATCAAACATTCACAGAAATCAAACTTTCACAGAAATATCCGAAAAATATTATTAAGATAAGTAATTGACGATAACAACTGAAACCAACATATTAATACCTTTAAACCGAAATTGATTGACTTAATTGACGATAACAACTGAAACGAACATATTAATACCTTTAAACCGAAATTGATTGACTTAATTTCTCAGAAATTGACTACGACCTCAAACAGATCGATGTCAAGAATAATATCTTTGAGTACGCCTTGATATAGAAGTTGAAAACATTATAATTTTCACATTTACAATGTGACTTTCAATGACAGTGAACCCGAATCATCGATAAAATAACTAGTGCAGGAAGAATTAAAGTCATATTTGTACTTGATAAAACAGGTCTTACAACTCATTATTTCAGTTCGAACTGGGTTGTGTGCGAGAAAAAGAAGGTGAGTTATTTACGTCCCATGAGGCTGATGCCTGAGTTTTCATACTTCTAATGTACCGCATTTTCGTGTCCGCTGTTGTACACGCCATCTTTCACGAGGCCTAGCGCAAAATCCTGCTTTATAATTTTGCTTCACATGCTAGTTCATTGCAGAACGATATCCTGATTGCAGCGATAGAATTACAAGTTTCAGATACGCGCAGTCAACTTGAACAAAATCAATTTTAGTAAAATGACAAGTAGGTACTGACTCCCTACGTTGCAACCGCGATAAATTAATGTATCAATAGACTGAATTAAAATATTCACACGATTAGGCAAATTCGCGTTAGCGATGGTCAATTTTCGGTAGTTTCAGGGTCTGGAGGAACAGACACAACTAGATAGCTATTTCAGAACAACGGATTAACTTTTACTGATATTTTTGTGCGTCATCCAAACAGAGGAAACGCGGCTATACATTATTTCGTTTAAGGCGCGCTGTTAGTTCCTGTAGTTGGGCTCGATAAGCGGTCCTTGCCTCTTCGAGATCCAGTCGAAGTTCGTCATTCTTTTCAACTAGTTCGCCGTACATCTGCAGTAGCGCCTCGTACTTCTCGGGTAGGTCGGCCAACTCAACTATAAATAACAGCGGCGTTACAAAGGAGTTTTGATGTTAGCCGATGTCTCTGCTGGCGGGTCAAAAAAAGTGGTTTTTGTCTGTCCGTTGCTTCCTTTTCCGTTGATTACTTTAAAGTGCTTAAGTGAGAAGGCCGTCTAAATCTTATTTTATGGGCTAGAATATTGTTTTAATGATAAGCATTTTTGTCTTCACCTTGTTACTACACTAACGGAGTAGCCCGAAAAGCAAAGCTTGTGGTTTGCCATCTGGTCTATCAATAAAAGGGAGAAAGTGCTACGGTACATTGAAACATCTTATATTTATTTAAAAAAAAAGAAGCTTGTGTTTTTGACATTGATTATACTGACCCTCGGCTTGTTTGTACTTCTCCAGCTCCATAGTCATTTCGGTCATTTGATTGGAGAGGGTATCTCGTGACCGTTTTAACTGGTTAACCTCTACACGGAGTTGCTGCATCTGGAATGAATCGGTGGGACGGTTTAGCAGTGATGTCACACATGGTAAATGCAATAATAATAACGCATTCGGAACGGGAGTAGCTATTAAGTACAGATATTATACTGTGCCTAGTTCCTAACCAATTCATTTAGAAGATTTTAGCACTCGCAGATCGATGGGAAATATAAGAATAAGTGATAAAACATTTATGTATTGGTTTGTTAGCAAAGTTCAGGGGCACTTACTTAGATAAAATAAGCACAAAAGTAAATCAAAAACAGAATTGTTGTATAGCTGTGTAGTTGCAAAACATACCTGTCCGTCTTTAAGTTTAAGCTGGGAAGACATGTTGTCAATTACACTTGGGGAGTTCAAATTGGCAGTAAACGTGGCATAATTGTCATTTTTCTCAAATTCAACAGACGACGCCAATGATGACCTGTTCAAGTAAAAATAGCAGTACAGTAAATCGAGACGCGCAGACGATATAAAGCACTAGAAAGAAAAACGCAGTAACGTGAATTGGCAATCGGGCTCAGATAAGGATGATGCGCTCAAAATACCCTGCAAACCCAGGTTAGTTTTCAACGTTTTGAATTGAACGAAGTGAACCCCATATATTTAGTTATAGTGGTTAGCATCGGCTCAATATATTTTGTTCAACAGCGTAATTTAAAGCTTGGCTGACGTACTAAAACACGCTGAAAGGTGTCAGATTTGATTTCAAACGTGTCTCGTACCGTGAAGAGGTAAAGAAATTGCTCAGAAGCACTGGGTTCATGCACTTAGGTTAATAAGCATTAACCTAAGGAAATCCAATAGTTTCTGGAAGAGGACAAAATCGTAACGTCATACCGACCAGACGAGCAGGTCATACAAACCTATTTGATGCAGTCGGTGAGACAGGCCGTGGTTCATGTCCTTCTAAACGGCTTTTTTGTCGCTCAAATTCAACACTTCGCTCCAATGTGAGGATCTTTTGCTGTAATGATGTTTCTCTGAAATGCACCAACGAAGGAAAGATATCATTACACATTTTATTGGGATGGACAAACGATAACATTGTTAATCCTGTACACTGGATTGTTGTAAATAAGTAGAAGAAAAACAGTATTATAGCGCAGGTCTCACACTCACAAATTACCGAAGTATGAGGACATACAAAAGAGATATTCCTTTGTGCAACCGTGACAGAACTGTTGTTGGAAAAGCTTATAAAGTACTGAATAGCACTTCATTTACCACAGATTAACTAATACCTATACTCATAGCAACTACTAGTACATATTTGTAAGATTTCCTTGTACTATGCTAGCAGAATCTATTTTTTTCCGGCGTGAACCTCGGTGTGTGCCGGCTACTTCAATGGACATTTTCCTTGATTTCCCGCATTTGAGTAGGATGGACCGAAGTGCAGTCGATTTACCAGCACTGGTATTCGCGAAAGCGTTTTATTAGCTTCAACTATATAAGGCCATATTTTGTGGGTATGCGTATGTATGAATCACGTGCATACACGTTCTGCAGCATGGCGTAGTGTGCTAACAGCTGTTGTTTTCTTTTACGCTATCTGGTCAATGAACTTACTAATGCATGTTTTGTAATAAAATATTCGAAAATAATTTCCGCGAATCTATGATCAACATCCGTGCCCGATAATCGTCTATACAAACTGAATGTCCTCAACCTGATAGTACTCTCAGAGAGCACGGTGGATCCAAATGCCATCTGCCCGTAATTGTGAAGCTTCTTGTACAAACATTTAACTTACTTAAAACCGTAGATGCTTGATTTCAAGGGATATCGGCAGTGTTTTTCTAATGAAATTCTCATCTCGATATCTTTCCGAATCCACTGGAAGCCAACACTAAGGAGCAGCATTGCTCTGACAAGCTCGGCTGTTTTATCACAACTTAAACCTGGTTGTTTACAGATAACTGTAAATCGGTGGAACAAGAGTATCTGACCTCAAGAGCGTTGGTTTCCGGCACTTAATTCAATGCATACTTGCGATCCAAAATTACATAATGAATACACGAAAACCTAACCAAGGCGTCTTATAGCGGAGACCACATAAATTGCTACGGTCGACTCCCACAGGTATTTATTCCTTATATTGTTCCCCTCTCATCTAGTGCTTCTGCATTATGTTAGCGAAAACCAACTCTGTTTCACATCAATCTGTTGTCTGCGCTTCTATATGCAACGCTATGAGTTCCTAATGTTTCCACGCCCATTGCTCAAAGCCTTCCACTTGCTCTATACTCCTGAAGGATGTACGATCTAGTCTAGGCTCAGAGGAGAAATCCTTGTACACCATGTTTATGGATTTTGGAGTCGCATTTGACACAGCACCAAAGGCTGAGATCTTCTTTAAAGTCAGTCCGGTGAGTATTCTGGTTTCCTATAATGCTAATGGGTAAACGTCACGACAACCGGTTTCTGGAGGATAGTAGCACGCAACCTGAGCTCTTTTTAATCAAACCTCTGGGATAGCTCTGGAGACAGCCTTAGTCGCTGATGTACTACTTGATGAATGGCATCAAGAACCAGTATACTCAAGTGCGTTCTCCTTTATGAGCGTGACTTTGTAATGTTTAACAACACTGGCTCTCAGCTTGAGCAACCCATGATTACTTTTTGCTCCTATATGAAGCGTATAGAACTCGAGACAGTATAGACGTTGGAAAAGCGAACACTATATAATTCTAATATTGTAGTCGATTTGCAACACCGGATATTTTGCGATTTGATAGAAGAAGGATACAACAATATGGTACGTTTTCATTCGCGCCTCAATCCCTCGAGGACCCGACCCTCAATCAGCATGTCGGTCGACGAAAATATCTTCAGCAAGGCAACGACGACAAATACACTACTAGTAGCCATAATCATTGACAAAGCATTTAAGCTCTGACTAACAATTACACTAGCTTTTTTTGCTTTCAAGATGGTCCGGCAGCATTGCCCATTTGCTAATTTTACAACAAATCAACTTCTACGGTTTGATCGCGTTAATCCCGCGTTACGTAAGCTCCTTCTTAACCAGTATATAGATACGAACTCAGTTTACCAGTTGCCACAAACTATGCCGCTCTTCCTAACGAACCTGCAAAATAAGTTTCATTGACTAGAAATAGCGGTATAGAAGCAGTTCCTGCATAAATATGAGAAGAGAAGCACACAAATTGAGTTCGTCTTCTTTTTTGAAGCGGTGAAATAACAGATGATTCTAGCTAGAAATTTAATAGAGTAAACCGCCATGTCATAGTTCAGTGTGCTGTAACCATTTATGCTTTATAGTCGATTACTATGAATCGGTCGACGCTTTTTTCTATACGCATAAAGCAACGAGTAGGCACAAGCATTGTCACTGACCAACTGTAATCCCGATTGTCTAACTTACCTTGATCTCAGCAACTCAATGGACTGATTCATTTTCGTGATCGCATCTTCACGTTCCACCAGTTGGCCTTTAAGCACCTGTAATAGTCATCGGAAACAAAATGCATGCTCCTGTGAGACCTGTTAAGCCGTAGTTGTTGCACGTAATTATAGATATCCTAAGTACAACTGTTAGCTTTTTGAATCTGCAAATGTATCATTGTTTACCTCAATGTATTCCAGTGTAGCAGTGTCCACAGTTTTGACAGATAACTGGGCACCCTTAGCTTCCTGAAGATTCTTCTCCAGCTCAGCCATACGCTCAGACAACACGTGACATTCAAATTCTGCTACCTCTATAAACCAAAAAGAAATTAGAGAGCTCAAGATTAGTTTTTATACAATAAGTTTATACAAACCACATGCTTTTCAGATAGCCATGTTAGCGAATAACAAAGACGCTTAAATTATAACCAGTAGTATATGAAAATGTGGTTATTTATAGTAATTAACTTGCTATTACTTTTTGGCTACCTGAAATTTAGTTTCGCTCTCTGCTAACTGTTTAAACTTCATGTTTCGAACATTAAGCCAAGTTACGTAAAACCTAAGTAACACTCATTAAGAACCTAAACAGGATAATAATAAATAAATAATAAATCTAATAACTATAAAGAAACTTACGTTTATCTTTGGTCATTACTTTAAGTCTGTCCTCGAGGTCCGATGTTTTTTGTCGCAGAGTTTCAACGACTCGCTGCAGGTTGACGATTTCATTTTCAAAGCTTTTCCTGTGAAACCATAATGTGATCAAGGTAGTTGTTCAAGCACACATTCAATAATAATAATAATACGTGTACAACTGCGATACATAACATTACAAAAATTTCTTCAAGCTATGAATGTGTACGTTTTATAGAAACGCGGACTTGCCTTTCGTTATCGCACACAGTTTTCATTTTGTCTAGCTCTCGTACATATGGAGCAGTTGCAAGAGCCAAACTCTCCGTTAGTTCCTGGTTTCTCTCTTGTAGAGCGAGAACTTCTTGTCTTAGTCCACGACCGTGCTGCTCATTTTGACTTATCGTTACTTCGGCTTTCTTTAACTGTAGTTCGAGCTGGGCAACTTTCTGTCGTAAACTGTCTATTTCTTCACTGTGGCGAGCCTTCAATTCCGCCATACCTGAACGCAACTGATCCTGTGCAGACATCTCCACAGATGCTGTCATCACTTTAGACTCCATGAGGACTTTAGCATTTCGCTCTTCCAGCTCTCGACATCTTGATTTCGCCACGTCCAATTGCATCTTCAGATCTGCCGCAGTAATTTTGGCTGCCTTAAGTTCCCGAATTTGTTCGATGTGTAGTTTCTCTTGGACATCCTTTTGAGACAGTGATCGACGTAAACGCTCCAACTGGACGTTAAGTTCGTCAATGTTTTTCGTGTGTTTCCTTACCAACTCGTCTTGTTCCCTTTCCTTTGCTCTTAATCTCTTGAGTGAATTGGCCTTTTCAAGAACCTCACGGGCTAATTTGTCGCCCTCGGCCAATAATTGCTGTACTTGTTCGGATGAATTACGACAAGCCTCAAGATTGCGAGCTTCTAGTTGGGCCACACGCTCACGTAGTTTTTCGTTGTCCTCTGTTAAGCGAGCATTATCACCAGATAGAGCCATCACCTAAGGCGAGAGTTCTTCCTGTATAAGCTAGATATCGAATACTATATACCTACAAAGTTACATTAACTAATTACGGCATATGATTAAGCGCGCCAAACAACTATCAATGCAGTGCCCTTTGACAAACAAAACCGGAAATCTATCATCATTTTAGAGTTTAACAGAGCTCCGTGAATATTCAATATAACTTTTTGGAGCGATCCGTGGTGCCTACAGACCGCTCAAGGACATGTAAACTTTTGAAAAAGCATCTTGTGCTTTACACAAATATACGTATAAGACTTGTATAGGTAAAAGAGGCAATATTTCAGGGGCGATTAGACCCATATAGGGTATACATACCTTTTGCTCCCGTGCGTGCAATAGCGTCTCCAATGCAGCAGTTGCATTTGCAGCGGCCCCGACCCCTATTTCGCCTGACAGCTCTCGAAGGGCATCTGTTAGTGCATCATCCCACAGTGCGCTCTGATCATGATGCAATGCTTCACTTGGCGTCGAATTGATTGCGGAGATAATTTCTATGTCCGAAGATGCGGCGGTCTCCCCGTCACCCGAATTTCCCCCGGATCCACCTGAAGAATCGGAAGGGCACACTGGCGATGCTGACTTCGGACTCGTTGGAGCAACAACGCCGACGACTAGAGTTATTAATAGGCAGTCATTAAATAGAGATAGATTAGCGAAGCCAAAAAAACTACGTATTGTTAGTTCTACACGTTGTTGTCGACCCTTTGAATAGTTCAAAGACTCAAACTACTGGGAAAAAAGTACACTATTCTTGCCACACAAATCTATGCCCTACATAATAATTTCTACTACGATATTGTAAAATAAAAGTATAAAAACGTGTTATTTCATTTCCGGAATTACATCGTTATACATCACACAAACATTTTCACTATTTTATTATAAAATAAAAGTACCAGAACATGTCACTTCATTTCCGGAATGACATCGTCATACACCAGGGCTATCAAGCGATATGTAATCGAAATTTAGGGTTTTTTTCAAGTAATATCAATAATAGTATTCAACGATATCATCGTAAAAAATATTACATGTTTTCACATTGTGAATTATGAAGAATAATTGAACACGAACATGTTTCATCTTTGGCCTCTTCAAGCATGCTGAAGTCAAGATCCGAGCCTTGTTGGACAGTCGTTTCTACTGACTCGCTACTTGTACCCATAGTAGCTGAAGCTGCGATAGCGGTAGGAGAGGCATCTTCTTCTCCTGTTTGACAATCTTCGCCCTTAGATGATGTTTCTCCCAAAAGCGCCGAAGATTCGCTCAGTCTATCGGTATTGTCCGTCGCCTTCTGTGATCGCACCTAAAAGAGTGGAAATGTATTCAAAGGACGCAATTAACGGTTGCACGTAAACACAACGACCCGGAATAAACGAGATGAACACAGTTTCACCAATGGTACAACACAATCGTTTTACCTGGACGATTACAGGACCAATAACAGAATCAGGGGTTGCTTTTATCTGGGAAGTGACGGGATTTGCCTGAAATGTAAAGAGTGTGAATTTTATTTAACAACTGACACATTTTTCATACATGGGAGTATAGAGTATTGTAGACTAGAAGTTCAGCCGTAGGAATAAGTGTACAATTCAATGGTTAGAGAAATTTAGATATTTGCTTTCGTAAAATGTCAGATATTTCACGAGTGCGAAACACGATCTAAAGCTGTATTGTTTTCACCCATTAAAATGGCTAAAACAACCTCGAGTGTAAATTATCGAAATTAACATTACTGCACCGACTTGCTATGCATAGGTGGCCCGGTGCGCTTTCTACTTTCCTCCTGCTATACTCTTAGAAATAATAAAATCACGATTCGGATTATCAAGTTAGCATTAAACTTTGACTACATTTGTCGTACATACCTCAACAACAGGTTTGTTAGGTTCCTGTCTGATTTGATTCGTAACAACGATCTCGTCACTGTTAAGGCCACTGTTGTTTACCTTGTCTTCTGTTAAAAGTCCACTTGAAGAATCACCTTGTTTCAAATGTCCCTCGCCTGCTTTGGCCATGACCGAGTTGAGCACAGTCGCATTTCCTTTCTGAGCCTCTTTTTTCATTTTTGGCTTGCGGATAGCCCAGCCGGATCCAAAAGGGTCTAATCCAGATACTATGTGAATACAGTTAGCTTAGAATGATTCCACATCCCCAATAATACCAATAAAATATTACTGTCAAGTAATAATCAAAAACACTAAATGCGAAGAAAGGTTTAATCAAGCAAGTCTTATTTACGCGAATTTGGTTCATAAATGATGACAAACCTTCAGAGTCATCAGAGTCGCTCTCCTCATCGGCAACAGCCTCTAAAGCTTTGTCGATCTGTTTTTGGGCTTGTGAAAGCGCCGATTTAGCGAGCGAGGCAAACGATTTCGTGTCGAACCAACTGGACATTTTCAACGTAGCTCTTTACTGTCGACTGTTTTCCTTTAAAACGATAACGTCGTCTGACTTCCTCCAAGGTAGAAGAAAACGAAGTTCACTGCACAAAACGGTAAAGTTAGGATACAGTAACCCTGTAATATAAATCAACCGAACGTGGAAAAGGTTTCAGCGCTGTGCAAAAGAAAATTACAAAACTACGGAAGCAATGAAACCTCCTATACAAATAACAGACCCTCAACGAACCTATAGCTTCTTGTTTTACTGTATTTTGAGCTTTGAGCTTAACTTTTATTGTAGACAGCTTTCTTATTTGCCTATTCGCTGATAAGGTTTAAACATGACTCAATCTTCATATCGATTCTGCTTGTGCTTGTATAATTAGTTATTATATATATATATAAACTATCGTAAATGTACCATAGATACCACAATTCAGGGAGACGGAAGTCAAAGGCCAATTAAATGCTATTAAAAAATAATAAACCACAACTGGGCTTCTTTTGCATCTATCATTTGATACCCATTGCGCAGTTAAAGCAGCGTTAAATTTTCGGACATGCCGCATTTTGCAAAATAAGCTCAGATTGTAGTTATTTATACATATATTATGCAAGACACACTTAGAAGTCAGCGATTCCTTGTAAGCAAGCTAGTTATGAAAGCGCCTTATATTTAAGTATTTGTGTATAATAGCTTGTTAAAAAACAAATTTAAGACAATACATAAATTAGCGCCCTCAAGTTTCGCTTATAAGAGAAACTTCTCAATTCAAGCCCGTTTGCTCAATCGGCCTTTGTCGAAGCGATAGACCGGGGGTGTAGCACATGTCACCTTACATTAATTAATTATTATTAAGTTAAAATAAAACTAAGCGAACATCTGTGACAGTAGTCTGGCATACCTCTTTTTCCTTATTAGACAAAATCTAGCTACTTCAAATAGTCGCACTCAAAAGTGCTCCTTAACCTATGCAACGAAATAACATCAGTTTTTATAGGAATGCCAATTGCCGTCGGTCTGTGCAACCTTGGCCACGACAGAACGTCAGGCTTTCGCGCATGAAGAGCAACTGTTCAATTCATGCTCCAACCCAGACGTTAGATCTTACTGTTTTGTCCGAAACACTTCGCAGTCAAGCATAACAATTTTCAAATACAACAATCATACGTCGTCATTTAAGTCAACCTGGAATTTTATATGACATGACCCAATCCATAAAGATAGTACTATATGTCCACTTGTCTATATTCGTCATATATGATCGTATATTGAACAGTTTCCAGAATGATCTATTATGAACTAAAGCACTACGTGGGCGATGCATGGGCGTTTTGTGCGAACATAATGTGCGATAATAATGCTAGATCCCGCAATTGCAGCTGCATATATGAGTTAGACTTTAGTACATTATATCAATTCGTTCCCTGAATTGCCTACGTCATTATTCAACATGTCTCAGGGTGGATCTAGCCTTACTAACCTACCAGAATAAAAGCCGACTTCCGTTGATCCGATTTGCTTGCGGTTAGGCTGATTCCTTTCGCAGTCACTCCCTAGAGTTTAAACTTCGAGAGCGACGCACCATTTCAAGTTCCTGTTTCCGTGCAAATTAATCCGGTGACATTCCCTCTCTGCACTATTCCTTCACACATGCATTTACTATTACCGCTCTGGTAATCGTACAAACGTCACAGTCAGCTGAAGGCCTTATTCAAAATAAACAATGGATACGGCGGTTCTTCGAAATCCTTAGGCGCCCTAACGTGCATTTCTAACGATCTTTCTTTACACTAAGTTTCTTCTAGAAGTATTTATCTAAGAAATAACGGAACGTAACGAGCAAAAACTAGAGAAATATTTACAGGAAATATGTCAAATATTCTTAGCGTACAAAATTTTCGAAGTAAAATCTATAAGGGCCATTTGGACAAGTGAAGACAAGACTTATTGGAGCTGGCTAGAGTCTCTCGTCGTGAGCTAGAGTGTGACGTTTGCTAGTCCATACGAAAGTAAGTTGATTTTTTACTTATCGATTTGCTTGTAATTAGTGTGTGAGAGCATGTTTAGATAGGTTAGTGCTGGAGCTAATAGCGATGCGAGTTGCGATAAGTTTCGGATATGTTATTACTACGTTTTATTTGACCTTGTGCTTCTGAACTACTTAGAGGACACTCGGCAAACAGGTACAAGGTCAGTTTAGATAGGCAAAACTGACCTTGTACCTGTTTGCCATCTTTATCTGATTAAAATTCTGAAGATCAAACATCACCACCTAGTAAATAGATTTCTAGTAAGTAAATAAAAGTGTTAACACTATGTACATTTCTATTCCGTTTCATTTATGCGTGATCGCCAATTTCTCTGTGCCTCTACAGAAACCTGTTTATCAAGGTATTAGACGATTTCATTTAGCGAAATTATGCATGTCATCCGGCGAGTGCACTGTACCTACTATGTTCATATAGCTTCAATCTGATCAGAATATCGGTTTGCTGAGTTAACGTTTTCATTAGTAGACACATTAGGAGTACTGAGGATTCCTGCTGTTCCGGACCGCTGCCGCTGCTCAGACTGAAGGCCGGAATAATTGTCAGGACGCTATTTAATCTCCAGTCATGTGAATGATAGCTATCAGTGTTTGTTTCAGACTGATCAATGTTTTCGTTGTTGTTGGTGTATTTCCTCCTCAGAATTAGCTGCTCGATATGCATACCTATTATTTTGTCAGCTGATATCAAAGTCTTGGCAGACGCTGCATGCCGTATGCAGAGCAGCATTGATTGGTTGAACTATTTTTAGTATTATTTCCTGTACCGCCTTTAGACATCAAGTGTCGATGCCCGGATTCTAACCTGGACTACCATGTGCTTCTGTTAGAGGCAGCAAATACGCTACACACTGAGCTGTCGCATGGACATGTCGAGCTATGTGTAAGAAGTTCCATCGCGGCTGCATACATTTATTTGTTTTGATGTACGGTGTATAGACGAGGGTGTAGACTCCAACCAGCATATACCACTGTACGTATATGTAAAAGGTTATCTATGGGCCGACGATCTAAGTAATATTAATAAGATTACTTGGAGGCATTTATGATCTAATCACTGTTACCGACAGGATGCTAGGGAAATAGCTGATATTATTCGGGTGTTCTTTTACATAGATGCACGCTATTTGAACAGGAACATACTCGAATCGTCAGACATGCAAATAAAACCTTTCTTTGTGCTAGTTCAGATCCAAACTGTAATTTAAAGATTCATCGAACATAAGACTAAAAGACGAAAGAGCTGGTCTTAAATTGTCGTCGTCGATGAGATACACTGGCAGTTTGCCTAACTGTGCGATTGGCTGGGCGATATTGCCAATAGAAACCAGACGTGTTTAAAGCTACTAGACATCACCTATGGATTAGCTTATGGCAAGTCTTGCCATTTTAAGCTAAATATTAAGTGAATCGTGTTCGAATCGATCGAAACATGGTGGGTAGTGTAAATATTATCATGTGGGACGTCTTAGTCTATTTGTCTTTACAATAGAAAAAAGGTCCTCGGTTCAATTTTCGGACCAGGGTTTGTCTATTTTTCGATATTACATATTAAGAAGCGTAAGCTCGACAGCTCGACAAGATGCTTTCGATGGATTAATTTATCTAGAACGTCTGTAGAACTGTTGCACACTAGTAGATTTAATACGCTAGTAAACGGTGGAAATTGAGCTTACTTGCGTGGGTAAACTAACCGTTTACTCTAGCTCAACAGACAATAAAGCAGACAATCTACTCAAACTTTCGAACGCCTGTCCCAATTTCAGATGGCTGAAACTGGGGATGGAAAAGGTCACTTGGAGAAGAAGTTAACCTTCGGCCACCACCGCAAGATCTCGGATAGTTCCGAGTTCAAAGCACTCACCAAGGTTGATGCATGCTCTGCAATGGCATCCGAGCTCGAGAAGCTGTTACAAACTGCACCACCTAATGAAAAGGAGGCCACGGAAAAGGATTTTCAAGGTTTTCAGCGTTTGTTTGAGCGTTTTATGAGCGACTCTGCCTCAACAATCGAATGGGAAAAAATCGAACCACTGCCCCCTGGTGCTATAAAGGATTACAGCTCATTACCAGCTCCAGCTGACGAGCATATTAAAGATATGCTCTCCAAACTTGTCGTTGTCAAGCTTAATGGTGGTCTCGGTACCTCAATGGGTTGTCAAGGGCCCAAGAGTGCTATCCCTGTCCGCAATGATCTTACCTTCCTCGATCTTACGGTACAGCAGATTGAATATCTGAACAAAAGATACGATTGCAAAGTACCGCTGGTTCTTATGAACTCTTTCAACACGGAAGAGGACACGGGAAAGATCCTCCGCAAGTACAAGGGCTTCAACCTTCAGATCTATCCCTTCCTTCAATCTCGTTATCCTCGAATCAACAAGGAGTCAATGATGCCAATTGTATCGACTCTGAATAAGGCCAATATTGAGAACTTCTATCCTCCCGGTCATGGTGACTTCTACGAATCATTTATTCAGTCGGCATTGGCAGATTACTTCTTGCATGACGGTCGGGAATATGTGTTTATCTCGAACATTGATAACTTGGGCGCTACAGTTGACCTTAATATTCTGAACTGCCTCTTAAATCCGGCTCAGGGATCGAAGCCCGAATTCGTTATGGAGGTAACAGAAAAAACCCGTGCTGACGTAAAGGGTGGTACATTAATCGGATACGAGGACCGCCTTCGCCTACTTGAAATTGCTCAAGTGCCGCCAGATCACGTGGACGAGTTCAAGTCCGTGAAAAAGTTCAAGATATTCAACACAAACAATCTTTGGATAAAACTGAGTAAGATTAAGGAGGTGGTGGAAGAAAAGACGCTATCAATGGAGATCATCGTTAACCATAAGCACCTTGACAGTGGTATAAATATAATCCAGCTTGAGACCGCAGCAGGATCTGCGATCAAAGACTTTAATCAGTCAATTGGCATTAACGTGCCTCGATCCCGGTTTTTGCCAGTGAAAAAAACATCCGACCTCATGCTTGCCATGAGCAACCTTTACGGGCTGAAAAACGGGTCATTACAGATGAGTCCTTTGCGCGCCTTTCCCACTGTGCCTCTAATTAAGCTTGGTGATGCGCACTTCAGCAAAGTTCGTGATTTCCTTAAGCGATTTGCATCAATTCCAGACATTCTCGAGCTTGACCATTTAACTGTATCAGGCGACGTGACCTTTGGAAAAGGCGTTGTTCTTCGAGGCACCGTTATCGTAATTGCCAACCATGGAGATCGGATCGATATTCCACCTGGGGCAATCCTAGAAAACAAAATAATGTCCGGAAACCTTCGCATTCTCGATCACTAATTTAATTTTACAAGGCTGATATATCGTTGTTATTAACGAACAGAAGTCCTACTTACTGTTTGGAAGATAAAATGAAACCCAGTGATATCTAAACACTAATAATAAGCGATAAAAGCACGTATTGTTTAAGTGTTTTCTTAATTAATGATATATATGATACAGTGAAACGTCACTGAAGAACGCTTTAGCCAGATTGTATCAATGTCCAGCAAGGGGAAATCCTAGTCTAGTCCACCTCGTTGAACTTGTCGAAATGGACTGTTACTGAAGTTCCTGAAAATTCTCTAAACTAGATCTAGTCAGTCGTCTGTATAGTAGAATAAAATGACGTTTAAGACAAACAGGATATTGCAGCGTGTTCGATGACTAGAATCTCTTTATTTAAAGTATTCACAATACAAACATGATGTTCAATAAATTCATTCATCCACTGAGTTATTTACAAGTTTCAAGAAGCACGTAGTTATTTATTATTAAAATCATGGCTACCTTAGCGTACTGCGTGAGTGAGAAGTCGCTTAGTTGTGAAGAAATTTAACAAACCACATATGTCAACAAATATGGTAAATAGTCTAAACAAATAAACTCTCAACAGATCGATTAGGTAGGGTAAATGCTGTAAGCAACAGAAACAATAGGTTTAAGGGAGTAGCTGGCTTCCTGTGTAAGTAAACCGCTTTCACTTGGTCACAGACTAATGCCAAAAAATTTGTTCCGATCGCTGGCAGAAATGGCTTTACATTGAACCACCACTCATCGCTACAGAGACTCCTAGCTCACACTAATAAAGACGATGATAAAAAAAATTAGCTCAGTGCTACAGTGGACGTTAGATCTGCTTAGCTGCCGGTAAACGCTGCAAGACATGTGTGTGACTGACGGCCACCCTTGTTTATTTCCCGAAAAAATCACACCTAAATTGCTTGAAGAATAAACTAGTCTCAATGCAGTAGTAGTGCGTATACACTATGTCTATTGGCCATCTTGTATTGTCCTAAGGGCCGGTCAGCGCCAATATTGTTCAAGTGGTAAAAGAATAATAATAATAATGTACTATTGATAGTAATAACTTGACAGCAGATTGCGATCGAAACTTGCTTCAACTGATCGACTGAAGACACTTATGAACGCCCTGCGAGCTTTTGTAGGAACTTGTCTTGCACAAGCCTACCAGCTTTACATTTGAGAGCCATTTCTTTATTTCCACTTTCCTATTTATGTCACGGAGTCGAACATGGATTTCTATTTAAAAAAACGGTATTAATTCTTTTTAAAAGATTAGATTTTTCGAATGGCTGAACATTTACATGAAAATGTTTAAATAGGTTTCATTTCACAATAACAGCAGTCAGGTGACGGAATAACTTCGAGAGAAAAACGCATGAACAGGAGCTAGCTGCCCGAATCCGGGCGAAAGTATGTTGTTCCATGCGGAAAGTCAAACGTTTGAAATAATGCCAAACAGTTTAAACACTGGATATGAAACATGAAAAATATTATTGATGCAGCTAGATGATTGTGATATCTCCCTGTGCCATAGCTTTTTTCGATACCTATAATCATAGCCAGCTAGCCTCAAATTTCGTCATTTTAAGCGATCAAGTAAGACCAGTACGAGCTCAGAATCAATGGTTGACTCACAAGAAAGACGTTTGTGTAGGCTTTAATTAAAACATAAGTGTCATTTAACACAAGTTTCACTCACCGCAGTATTACGCTCGCAGATCTTCTACTTGTATATTTTTGTTTATGATGTAGTAACCCAGTGGTTGATGATGTAAACCTAGATAGCTCTACATTGAAGTAGCTTACATGAAGTCTTCATTAGCACTAGTTTGTGAATGTTAAATATATTGATTACATTGCAATAGTTGTATAACCTTGTCGATGATCGAAAAATTCCTTTTATAATAATAACGCTTTTGATAGAGAGTTTAGCTTCGGGACTTTACCTAAAAAAGTTTTTTCATGTGCTAAAATAGTCTCGGCATATTATACATTCGCAAGCCTATATAAATCCCTATATAAAATAAAAGAGCGCATTTCTCAGAAAAAAAAAACAAATTAAAAAAGCAAGCTAAAGTTGTAAAACTAGCTACTAGTAACGTTTATTCCCTGAATATCTGAATTACGAGTAATAATCATATGCCGTGTGTATATTGTGCATCACTGAAACAGACCCACACACAATATGGAGACGGCAAATGTCGAGGAACTCGAAGATGAGTTGGTTGAATTGCTTGAAAGTATACGAGGAGCACCGCCTTATTACATCGACAATCTTGCAGATAAGTCTGTTGATTGAGAAAATATATATGCTCATTGAATAATAAGCATACAGTGGAATATAAATCAATCTTTATCTAAAATCAAACAAAACCGATAACTGAAATTTTAGGTGGTTTTCGATATGAGCTGTCGTAACATTGATCGTCATTCAGACTATGTTATATTTACAGGAAGCTTATCAGCCTACAAGCCTACAAATATAGCGCACTTGTTACGTACCAATGATTTCAGCTTAATCTAGCACGTTAGTTAATCTCGGACATTTAGAAATGACAGAAACACAGCATAGTGAAGATCTTATGTAAGATCAAAGTGTTACTATAACTCTGTGGATCTTACACCTGAGACTAGCCCTATGAATGAATTTTTTTTAAACCTTTGAAGGTGAGTCGGCCTGCTGAGAGCGGACGCTAGATCGCGGGACTCTCTTAAACACTACTGAACAATTATACAATGTTACATTGGATTTAATATCTTTGCCCGCAGAGTTAAATATATAGTAGTACAAACGGAATTAGCTATTCCAACAACCTATGCGTTGCGTTGGTCAAAATCTAGGAGAAAGACGGTTACAATGCGCGTGACCCGAATCCTGGCAATGGCGGCACCATTCAGAGTGTTTGTCGGATCTCGTTGAAGTGATAATACTACAAAAAATATAAAGTCTTCGTTTTTTTTCAAAACTTGGAGTAATTTCTCGCTGCAATTTCTTGCGTATTTTTTTTTCTAAAATAGGGCGTTAGCAGTGCTGCTAAAGATCGAAACGGAATATCCAACCGTACCGCCTGAAGAAAAAGGTGAGCATGTTTAGATAGCTTAAGGCATTTATTTGAAAATGTGCGCAGGTGCCTTAAATAGTTAAGCGTTTCCGAGTCCTCCACTTGTTTATCTATACAATTTTTAGATAGGAAAGATAGTGGACCTAGGTATTCCGGCCTATTCAGGGTATTTTGGATTGCTTTCATCAAGTCATTTATAATTACCTTAGCTGGTCTGCAAGCGAAAATCCGTCGCTATCGGCACGAGATCGAACGAGCGCGTTCCTCAGTCGTAACGGGGGGCTTAAGTCGGGCACTTCAAGTTGCGCAGGAAACCGAGGAAATCGCTAGCGAGGTAAACACCTCACACAGATAAATTCAATGACTCGTTAAAGAATACTTACTTTCAAGACATGACCCAATACGCTTAATATTCGAAAAAATTATCATATTATAGAACCCGGTATAACTAGACGTGATGTGCTCTTCAGCCCACGTAAGGGCTTTATGGGTGTGCGTGTGGCATAGGTAGTCTGCGATGAAGGCGCCAGTCATCCCGCATTTAACGCGGAGCGTCTCCGTTGATATTTGTTTGTTTCAGGTCGGTCCAGAATTACGGAGTCGGAGGGAACAGCTCCTTCGAGATAGAGACTGCCTCGAAGAGGCGAATAACGAGCTTTCTAGAGTGGGAAGACTAATCACCATCATTCAAATAAGGATTATTTCGAACAAGATACTGCTCATCTTTCTCATAATCATTGAGTGTGCTGTACTAGTTGCGCTGTGCTATATCAAGTTCATTCGGCATTAACAAAGTTATCCGCTGTAATTGTGGCCTCGATGAAAAACGTATAGGCTGTAATATTTCTTTGATCCTAAAGGGATCAAAGAAAATGTCTTTGTTGGTACAGGAAATGCCGTACGTAGTAGCAAAGGATCCAAGCTACGTTCTTTAAGATTACATGAATAGGACAACATCTAAATATAAGTGTACAAACGTAAAGCAGTTCAATATGTCTGGTGTCGGTGAAATAGGTCACACTGTTATGTCACAGAGGTGAGGTTAAAGTATTACGAATGTTACTGTTAAACAAAAGCGCAAATTAATAAGTTGTAAAGCGGAAACAACCCACAAACCCCTCTCCATCGATTGAACCTGACAATCATCATCCCAACGCAATCTCCGATACGGGGAAGGGGGAATTTCTAAGGCCGCCGTAGCTGTTTCCGACCAAATGGCTTACTTAAAACTTTAAGCATTTGTAAGAAGGTTTATACTGCTGGGAACAAGGGAGAAGGTGTTCGTGTTGTAAGCTCCGGTGGACAGGGACGCATAGTGCTCTACTCACGCAAATATGTTACTTTTGAACATTGTTAGTAATCCATTAAAGATAACCGTCACAGCGGTCAGGATGGAATGGCCTTCAACGGTACGACGAAAAAAATGTTTCCGAATTGTTTCGAGTGAAAGCTGGTGGACTGACCAGTCACGTGAATGAAAATCAACAAACGCTGAATAGGACTAAGAAAACAGCCCGGCCCTTCCGAGATATTTGCTTAAGGAACATTCGTAAGGCGGATGACGACCGGCCGGCCAGGCTTGCACAGCAAGCTCGAATTAAAAAAAAAAGTGATTTTTTTCAATTAGGAATATTTCAATAACAACAACTAAGCCGTAGAAACAGGGTCTGTTCCGGGTTCGATGTAATTCACCATGGTCACCTTGCATCGTGCGCACAATACGGATGTGTCGTGGGAGTATGCCCAGCGAAAACGCTTAGATATAGTATCGTTGATCTATGTGTGTTAGATTCGTCTTCACTACCTGAAAATGGCGTAGAGGGTCGATGCATGCGAACCGATTTGTGCTGTTCTTCCTAATTGATACCTGTAGAGCTTTAACACATGGAATTCATATAGTATTTCCTCATCAGAAAATCTTCTTTTTTGGGTCGGGCGTACCATGGTTTACTGAAGACAATACGTCACTCAACTGTTTGACAGCAGTCGTCGTCATCATTATTATGTGGAGGAAATAGCGAAGTTGGCACCTATAAGGGTCGTATCAAAACTCATCACCAAATAATGCCTTATGCAATTATGAACGAAAGATCTATGAACTGTCATTTCTCAGGTGAATTTATCTTCATAACTAACAATGTATATAAAAAGAGAAATATGAAATTTTACATGGACAAAACGACTGGTGATTTTTCATGATATCTGCCATCGTCCATATATATATATATGTGTGTTTGGACATCTTTCACGATGGCGCATAGTAGCGGAATGTATTCTCTTTATTTTTTTTGTCCTAACATACCTACCCGGTAACAGCTAGATAGATGCTTCAGGTCTGATACCACTGGGATGGCTGGCTCCCAACACAAAACGAAATGTGTCTACGTCACGTTTCGACGACGTGTTTTGAAGTTTATTAGGCAAACGCTTCATCATTTCACTGTTGCTCGAAGATTCAGTTACAGCTGACTGAAAAATCATAATTTAGCATTTGCCAGACTGCAGTGCCTATAAGAAGCAATCTACCTTTAAAAACGCTTACTTTTGACCACTGCACGTTATCTTTGCACGAATAATTCCGCACACATGCAAGTAGTGTCTGACTGGGGCTGCATTGATTAGATAGGGGGCTCTACGCTGGAAGCGGTTAATGCGAAATTCCCTGAAGTAGCTAGTTCATCCAATTAAAAGAAGTTTGCATTCTTTCCTGCGGGTTTGTGAAACGCTAATTGAGCCGGATGTGCTATGAACTGCCAACGATTCAAGATACAAGCAAAAGTATAACATCTGTCTCGAGCGGGACTACAATAGGAAAACAAGTAAGGGCAGCCCCTCGATAAGGATTAGCTTCGTTGTGTAAATAGTAGTCCCGAAGCGTGTCCCAAGCTAAATTGAGAGTTTTCAAATAACAGTTGAATGAACTTCTCGATGCACGCTAGAGCGTCAATACGCGGCTGCTAGAACAGAAGCAGGATCATTTATACTGAGCTTGAAAAAAAATACGCCAAAGGATAGGGACACTGCGAATGAGTTCATCCATATTTTGTTTCGAAATTTATTTCTCACGCACATGCAACCGCAACTCCTGTCCGAAGTGGTAGGACATACGCACCCCTGTTCTGTTCGTTCACTCGATTTTATGCGGTTTCTTCATTGTTGTATTTGTGATTCTTGCTCTTGGCGAGTCTTTGGCACATGGCTGCTTGGCTATGGTTCGTACCGTCAGCTTCATTGAACTTTACATAGTATTCACACAAATATTTGTAACCATCTCTTTTGCAGTGTTAATAAGTATCTACTTATATATATATATATATATATTTTTAGTTAGTACGGCTCGAAACTTCATTTGCCTAACTAAACTAAAAAATCTGCACAATACCTATAGATTTGTTTATTTATGTTGTTTAGCTTAGCTGCATTATATCTTGCGATTTTTATGTATGGTATTTCAAGTTAATTGTTTTAATACTTCATAGCCCCTTTAGGTGGGGTCTAGAAGAGCCGAAGTTATTTACAATCGATAACCCTAATTGTATCAAATTATGTAATACTTATCATTAAATATAGTCCATTTTGAGCGAAATCAATCGGCTGGAATTTTGTACAAAGTGCAGCTAGACTCTATATAATAATGATAAGGCAAAATATAGAAATTGCATAGAATCTCATAAGTAAGAATATATACATGTGTGATTGCAGTACGTGTTATATAAATGGCTATAATTTGTACTTTTTTTTAGCATACTGGCCTTTGTAGTAGGCTTTCACTGGAATGCACCAAAGTACATTGCACGTTTCTAATGATCCGCTATGTTTATATTGTATATTCGTATGTTTATTTTATAATGCTACTGGAGCAAGGCAAACACAAACAATAGTTTACTTGGCTCGAAATGGACGTGCGTCTTTCACAAGGCGCACAAAAATATCGCCAAGATACTAGCAGTACACCTTTTCTATTTATTGCCTAAATTATAAAGGACCTCTGTTATCGCCTTATTTCAGAAGCAATAAAAGGACGATTTGTTAGGTACCATACGGTAGCTGATACGGTGGCCTGCGGAAATTCTGCACTTGTACTAATACCGCAACTAATATTCGTTCCTGCTATAGTCAGCGATTTTTTGAGCAAATTCGTTCATTAATTAAGAATATATTTTAATACAAACTACCGATATTATGCCATTGTATTTAATTAGAAGAGCAGGTTTGGTTGGATGTTCCAGCTAATATTTGCCAACGCGCACAGACGCTAGCAAAAAATAGGTTTTTGCTAGAGTGGATCGTTGCGTGCGCATAGAGGCGTCTTCTTTACATGTATAGCCAACATCAACAAGTCCACCTTTGTGGAACTCGTTCCACCTACCGTCAATGACCACCGCCCACATCGTAATAAGCTTCTCATGCTGCTTCTCTCACGCAAGTGTTTGGATATTTCAGTGAAGTGGAAGTCGAGTACCAAATGAGATGTTGGTGTTCAACATAATAACAATGTACCATAGCAGCCAACCTATCACATAATTATATTTATCGTATGTATAATTGACAACATTCATAGCAGATATGTTTCGCGCTACAAGGTCAATTGCGAGTCCGAATCTATAGCAGATGGTATCTACTAAGCGTGTCTTGAACGCTTAATTTAGCTTATAAGAATATACGTAGGCTATGAGTTATCTTGATAGACGTCTGCCGGCGATACGACTAGCTTTTTCCCCTGCGCGAACTAACTTCTCCGACAGTTCTTCGCACCAGGGAACAAGATTTTACTATGGTTCCGATATTTCATTGTCCTTAGCTAAGACACAGCAAATGGTTAGTTGATATGACATTCGGAGCGTGGACCGTTTTAGAATGTCGGATGGTAGATTCGTGTACGACGAACGTGCGAAACTTTCATATATACTACAAAATGGTTAAAATAACGATGAACGTTTGAGAAAGATTACGATTGCAGAGTGGGTGCATGACCTGTTGCGCTGCGATCAGTCTCATCCGCTGTTTGTGAGCCGATAAGAAAGCTTCCCGGAGAGACGCCCCTCGGAGCCGAGGAGCCGCCCAAGGGGCTTCCAAACATCTGTGTGGGGATAGACAATAGTAGCTCAATATTTTAGTATCACTTCGCGCATAGCTTTCGATAGGAGCTGCTTGCCTATGATTTCCACGCTCATGACAACACAAAGTTACAATTCTACTATCTAGTGGTAGCTAGCTTTTCTGTTGTACTCTATGCTTCCTGATTTCATACTTACACCAAGTGAGGTAAGCGTTGACATGACGTTCATGTTTGGTTGCATTGCTTGTCGAGCGACTCCAGCGGTTACGCTCATACCCATTGTGACCGGTTGGGAGGTGCCGCCGCCTAAATAGGAAACGGTCTGAGCCGATATCGGAAGAGCTTGCGAAGAAGAGGGGAACGCCATCTGGCCTAACCCCTGTACTCCTGACACTAAAGACATCTTTGATCCGGGCACCATCAATGAATTCACGTCCGCTGTTAGGCAAGTAGACGCACAAGCATAATTAGGAAATTAATCAAATGTTTATCAGACGAACGTCTCTTCAGAGTCGAAACGCAAACTGCCAGACCGCTTTTCCATCCTTACAAAACTTAATTTTTTGAGAATCCTGAGGCATTAACAGTTTATCATAGCGATACAACAGTCATCTGCCGGATGGCCTATTCCATGTGATGGCTTTATTTGTCGTGATAATGTCATATTTTCTTCACTTCCGTGCTGTGGCAACTACCAGTAAACCCGAGCGTTTCTGCCGCTATCACGAGGGCTAAGGTGTCGTCAAAAAAAAATCGCATTTATACCGGTACTAACGTGTTGTCACTACGCTATGTAGTATTATATATTCTAATATTTCTAGTTTTAGTCCACAGACAAACTAGGAGGAATGATCAATACTTTCGCCGGATGTAGAAAGAGCTGGATATTCGTAAATATTAAAAAAAAAAATGTTGACTCACCGACAGTCAGCGTTGTAGTACCATCTCTAAGCGCCGGGACAGAAAGGGCACCGTCGTGGCCTGGTACGCCTTTGGGATTCTGTTGGACGGGAAGGCCCGGATGTGCTGGATGTACCTGTGATTGACCATGACCCTGATTCGGAGAACATTTCGGCTTGCGTTTACGGGTCTGGATCGTGTCCTTTTTCATTGTTAGTGGACGGGGAACCTAGTGAATAAAATAAAGCAAAGAAGCTGGGGTTAGTCACTATTATGATTGTGTACAGTCGTAAAGTCAAATTTATAATTCCTGTCCAGAAACATCATGGAAGTTGTTGTTTATTCAGTCTAAGTGTGTTCATTGAACGGCGTCAGGGTAGCGCCCCTTCTCTGTTATATTGGCCACTTTGTGGTTGCCAAGTCAATTAGTACTATGTCGCTAACCACCACAATGGAACTCCCTCTTAAAACCTCAAACTAACCGGCTGAAAAAAACAACATATCAGTAGAGGACTACGGTTTCACGCTTCCACAGCTCCGGCCCCCTAAGAGCTGATCGTTTAATTCGATGGTGTTTTTCTCGCGCTTTACCTATTTGCTACTGCGTTCTCTTTCCATCGTCGATGCAGCTCTAGAAAAAGCAGCAGGAAAGCAGGCCGCACTAATCCATTTTAGGACCAGGCTTAGTCCACCCAGACGCTACTCTGCTCACTCATGAAGCCTGTCACCCGCTGCGCTCTTACCTCTCACCTGCCTCTCTTCGCGGCTTCGAGTGTGAGACCGCAGGTTTTCCACCCCGCTTATTGAAATCTTTCATTGCTTTTGTTGTTGTTGTTGTGTTTATGACTGAATACCACGCTTCTCACTAACGATACGTGACAAATGAATGTGAGTTTCATTACACATGAGAAACACGCGCTTTGAGATAGGCACTAAGAGGCTAAAAGCAAGCGTAAACGAAGATATCACAAGTTGGAAAAACGTCCAACTCTCCGACCGACAGATCTGCCTAATCTACTGAGATTTAGGCTAAGGTGGAGCAGTCTGCTTTTGTGTGCGTCAAGCAGAAGCCCAGTGAACAAAGTAAATGGAACCTGTTAGTGCATATCATCGGAGTGAACAATTTAGAACGAAGGTGCTATTTGGGTATGAGTGGGACTCCGTCAACGAAAACACGACCATTTAATTACCTCCATTGCTTACTGGTTTTTCAAATGAAAAGACAATCTCTCCGACAGAAGTTAAGCAACTGTTATCTTTCATGTCAACACCTAAATCTATAGCTTCTGTCTTCCCAAAAGGACTCGTCTACATGCTCTCTCCGTTATCACTACACTAAGGCTATCTCGTACAAAATTTAACAGAACGATCATCTGCAGTGCGGGTGGCACACTTAGTGGTTCTTTGAACACTAGCGACTGACTAGAGAAAAAGCGAAACGAGGAACGCTATTAAATTCCGCGTAAAAACGTAAATGACTGTATTCGAAGAACGTTCCGTTGTCTGTTGAGTTAGCTCAAGCTTCTGAGCTCTGTCTGTCACCACGTTATTCGTCTGGTGGAAAAATAAATTAATTAATTAATTTCATAGGAAACACGTTGCGCATCAAATAGCGTTCGCCTAACTTCCCTCTTAAATATTTCCACTGTGAAAGATACAAAACGTTGCTCCCGCGAGAGCAAACTCTGCCCATACGATAAATAGGCATTTGCTGGTCACAAATAATTGTTGCTATACATCGCTAATTTTAATAATAATCATAAACTAGAGATCTCTCGTATCGTCTGGAGGTACTGAAACGTCTAACGTCGATACATGCAGTCTTCTCCAATACTGTAGATACCTGTACCATGTGTGCTCATTTTTTTCCTATGCTTTGTAGACAGCTTTTTCGATCTAATGTGCGTTTTAATATCATAATGCATAACAACAATCGTAGTCGCCCCGCAATAGAGGGCAAATACCAAGCCACTGGTATCTTATCATTTATTATTATTTACAGTGGCAAAGAGAGTGACTCTGTCTAATTTCCTCGGCTATTTTTAGCGGTTTCTCTCCGATCACATCTAAGCGCTAAAGCATGTGAGAAACACCAATTGGTTAGAGAGAGATGTTATTTTTGTAGGTAAGCGAGAAAACTATGATCATTAACAAAAACGGGAACAACAAGACTGCATTGTCTGGGCTGTGCGATGAGAGATTAGTGCACACACCTCAATCATCAACGAGAGAAGCAGACTTCACTCACCCCATGCAAACGGAAGTAGAGGCCACATGCGTTGCAGACGGGTTCGCCAACGTTATTCCGACGCCATAACGATGTGTTTGTTGTTGAACAGTTTGAGCAAGTTAAACCCTGACGACGACTCGCTGATTGGAGAGAAGGTGACTGCATTTGATAGGACATAGGTTCCGACCGTAATCACCGTAAAGATCCGAGATCACACCGAATCACATCAAAGCCAATGTCACATCAACATGAAATCAAAGTAGAAATCATCTACAGTCGTAATAATTACACGATGCCAAAGAGAAGACTTTTACAAAATACAAATATTGTGTTCTTCTAAAGAGCTTTGATATGCAACATTGGTTCGCTTGAAAGGGTGTCGGGAACGTTTCAAGTAGTTATGGGTGGAAATATCACTGATATATATGAGCTGACCTTGTTTCTAATCTCAAATAGACTACGAGTTAAACTAGATCCTAACCAAACGTCGTGGTGTTTTAACGATTGGTCTATGTGCTCCGTTCATTTTGTTGTAGAGACCGCAAGCGTTGCAGAGGTAATGTCCTGTTCCGTCTCGTCTCCAGAGAGGCGTAGAGATCGCTCCGCAGTTGACGCACTCCCGACCTTCGCCATGATACACTTCCACCTCCATTCCCGCTGCACATGGTAAACACGGTAAAATACATTATTGCATTGTTAATTATATAAATTACTTTTTTTTCTATTCTTAGTCTACATAAGTCTCTAAATTGCAAACGCTTAATCCGCAGAAGGCTCAAAATTGTAACTAAATTTTCTAAACTTCCAACTTTGCATAAGAAAAGGTCACTCGTAGAATGCTGGAGATAAACAGCATCGAATATAAAACAAATATATCATGATAGCTTTCTACCTCGTTGTAGCGTAATAGCGCTCGAGAAGAGCGTCATTATTCATTATCCGTATCTACCGCCTTAAACGGGATTTTTAAAAGGATTTTCTAGAGTTGATCTTGCTGAAGCTTATTTGGCTGGTGAAGAATTAAGAAGCAATTAATAAAACTGTTGTAGCATCACATGGATATCATCAAATGTCGCAAAACAATTCGCTGACTTTTCTAGCATATTCAGAATCTTTACTTATTAATTAGAACCTAAAGATATAAGTTCTTTCAATTAGACGCAAAGCCGATCCAAGGAAAACTAAAGGTTTCACTAACTTCGCCAATGAGCCTTCGTATTACAGTAAAACTATGAAAAACGAATACAATTGGTAATAATAAAAAACATGAGGTTCATTAACGAATAGTTATTGGTAGTTATCTTAAAATTAACACCTGTTAAAAAATAATGCAGATCAAAATTTGTGACGCAATTCTACTAGCATGATAAAGTCATACCAAAACCGTTAGTAAATTACTAAGTCCGTAGGTCTGAACAGCACGTTACGTGCTATAGATTTCTAGGTCTCACACGGCGCATCGTATAGATTCTAAACTTAACACTATCTTACCAACCAGCACTAAACACTATTACTCGCTAAGCTTTTTTCAAGGCTCAGACTCCCACAACCCGAAATCAACTACTCAACACCTAGCTAGACCTGATCGAAAAGAATGACTCGGTTTTCGTGTCAAAAGTAAGTCCATCATTTTGTCATTGCCGTCATCTCAGCCAGAACCTTTCCCCAGTCCACGCCAAAAAACCTTAACCAGCTCGAGGTCGCGAATCATCCATAACAGGTTGCAGTAAGTCTAGCCCTTTACTCCCACCATTTTTGCCAGACTAACTAAGCTAGTTATACTATCTGGCTGTCAGTCGCTGCGTATTCCTGACACGCTCGATCATAATTTTGTAGCAGAAGCTCTTCGGAGCACGAAACAGTGTCACATCTCAAGTGGAATAAGTCTACTGTGACATTTCTGCACTGATACCCGCCATTGCTTGCTACGTCTATGTATGCCCTTCAATTCGGTTTTCTGCACTGCGCCTGTAGATAACATCAGAAAAGTAGCAAACAGCTGCTTTAATGCGTTTGGATAACAAATGCGTAATCGGAGACAGCCAGTCGTAATAACATTGCGTGATACACTAAGTGTACAACTATTACTATATATCCCCTACGCGCCTATAGCAAAGATGAGTATCTGGTACCGAAAGATTGTTTTTTATATCCCTTGCCTACTTGTTTTTCTATTCCTTCTGAGCCACAGCTGTAATGATGATGGCGATGATATTCGTTTTGCTCTTGACACTCGTTATTTCCTTCGTTTTGGTTTGTCTCTTTAAGTTGTGATGATTCATGTGAGAACGGATCACCTCCGCGCCCTGTCAAACCCCCAGATCATGCTTCCATCTTTGATAGATAGATAGGTAGGTAAATATAAAAAAGGCCGAAGCTAAATGACTGAGTGAGTGGTTAAGTAGTATCGTTGCTCGCGAAGAAGAGACACGCCAAACTGCCTTCCACCTCCCTCCCTTCCTCCCTGTTTAGGCTCTGTAGATGCTGGAACAGCAGTCCTGTTTCGGCCGTATCCAACAAACGCAAAGCGGCGTTGTCTCTCGAAAAGAAGAAGAAGCAGAGGATAGCGATAACGACAAGATGAAACAGGCGTGCCAATGAATGTCAACCATAGAATCCAAGAGAAATAAGGCCGTAAACGGACTGCCGAGAGATGTAGCAGGTCGGAGAAGATTATGAAATAATCATCCGTTTTGTCGCTCCTGCTCCTTGTGTTATGTTACTGTCTTACGTCTGTGTCAAATCACTCAAAGCAAATAAACCATACCGGCGGTCGAGAAAGGATAAACCTATCATAAACCCTCCTTACATATATATAGTGCTGCTTGTTTTTCTTCATAGCTTTGGATATTTCTTTCTAGCCGGATGCATGCCTACGCAGAGGTGAGCTTATGTACGCACAAAGCCATTGGGAAATCTATTCATATCTGACGGGTGACCGAAACTGTTACAGAAAAGGGAGCATGACCGAGCTGTTCGTTGGCCTGTTGATGTGACAATACATGTCATTGCGTGCTGTACATATCGGCCATATGTCGCATGTCCGTGTAGAGCAAATGGACAGACAACAACAAAGTATGGCCGATCGCAGATTCCCTGTCAACTTGGATAACAAAACGTCAAGTAATTTAGTGTTAAATTGTTGGCTAAGTTATTCCTAGGCGCTTTTCGTTTTCCCTTCAAGTTTTCAATTAACTAAGTTCTCTGCTTCGCTAAAGGTTCCCTTTCCGCTGTTCAGCACAGTGGTTGTTATCGTCGATTTGCTCAGACAGAAAATTTTTCACTTCAGTTCAGACTCCAAAATGGTGTTCGGATAATAAAAAAAAAATGAATATGAATGATAGCAACATTTTCGTCAACAACACTTCTAATTCAACTTAGTCGAAGTTAGGAAGCTGTCGAACTTACTCGCTACAGCTCTTTAGCCAGGATAGCTTTGGACACCTTTGAAGGCTTGTTAGCTGTTTTTCATCGTGAACGGAACCTGTATCTGAAATTTCTTCCTTAAATGGTTCGGATCTGCAAGGAAGCCTTGGTCGCAAATTTACTTTGTTTTCGCCAAACGTAGCCATCTTTTCGAGTTGAGATCAAGGTAAAGCGCTGTGATCCCAACAAAGTTGTGGCAGCAGACTTTACGATGTTCAATCATTAGCAAAGGAAAATCTAAGGAAATCAACGAATAAGTGACATAACTCAGTTGAGAGCTCAAAAAAAACTAACAGTTAACCAACAACTTGTAATAAGAACGCGAAATCTCGTATTTATCACTACTAAATGGACACGAAATGCTCGCTGAATGGGGCAGTTATCGACGTCATTCGATAGAACCAAGCAAAGATCAAATCAAGCATTCAAATTGTTATCCGCTCGATCAGCATTGGCATAGAACTGAGTATAAGACTTTTACTGTATAATAGACCCGGCTCTAATATGCCCCTCTTAAAGAGGCTAGAGATAAGGTTCAACTCAGTTCGGCTTTCATACGTCATGTTTGAGCTCCTCTCGATTAAGAAGGACATGACAGGAGAAGGAAGTGACGTTTAATCCTTTCAGGTCGACAAGACAAACGGATGCTGACGCAAGACACGATCTGTTAGTAAAGATAGCTAGTCATTGATTGCCTTTCAACCTTTTATCCACTCGTAAGTAGCTCAGAATCAATCATATCTACGGAAGGATCGAGACTAGATCTTCGAAGCCTAAAGCATTCAGTCCTAAAGCCAATTGTTAAACAATACCCAGCTGGGTAGGCACTTCTGCGAGATGGCAATGAACGATCCAGCATAGACTTTCGCACCCATCAAAACGTCCTGAAAACTATCAAATAGCCCCCTCACATTCGTCCTTCCTCTGCTGGGCAAGCAGCTCAGTGTGCGGTTGAATCGGCTCGATCGTCGATCGCTGATTCTGTTTGTTAGCCTACTCTCCTATACGGATCATGCCTTGATAAGCACGGTACACAGTCGGCAGTGGAGGAAGGCGACAACAATGAGGGACCGACAGAGATAGTCTGCGTTCATTATACAAATGTGTTGAAGAGGTATATTGAAATTGGCGATTGGTCCCATCTGTGTTGATTTGACAATCGGTAGAAAACGAAAAAGTACGTAGAAAGGAACGTAGATCGGAAGGTCGTTGCGTTCGTATACCAATCCCAGCCATCGGACCGAAAAGTCCTTCCGTTCAATAAGGTCTGTGTTTGTGAAGGTTCCTTCGCAGTGATTTTTGCTCTATCTCCACCACTCCATGCACTTCTTCCTCGTTCTGCCTTTTCAGGTGCGCTACGAGGACAATGTTTAGGCAATTTGTCGCCTGAAGTTGATCTCGATCTGGAGACACTGGCGACGGAACTTTAAAAGCGGTCTCAAAAAGGGACAACATTTAACTACGGAAAAAAACAGCAGCGTCATAAATCTATTTGCATATCGAAAACCTATAGCGTAAGCCAAGCGTGCCATTAAAAGCGGTAAACTATCGTTCCCCCGCGAGTGGTTGCCGGTGGTGAAAATATGCCAGCAAGCCATATAACTCAACGCTTATTTGCAACGCATTTAAGAAAACCCATCGCCTCTAAACTATGAATGAAGTAGACTTCGAAGCTAAAAGAGGCCCTTACGTATTTTTCGAACATGCAATTTTCATAATCTACTAATCTTTAATCTAAATCTTTCTAAACCCTAAATATAGAATACTTTAGGTTGGATAGAAAATTACCCAGTTTTAAAAGATTCGTGTAGAATCATTTAGTTCAGTATTAGCTTATAAAGAGCCTTGTTGGACACACGCCATTTTTACTTCAAGGCCCAAACGAAGATCGTGCGTCTTTTGCTTGGCCTCGATCAGGTGCAATAAATGTGTCGTTTGTATTTCGAATAATATTATAGTACAAGTACGTTGGCTTTTTCAATAATCAGTACCTTAAATTAGCAAATTCTCTCTCATCTATTGAAGCTACAAGAGACGTAACCAGTGCAAACGTTTCACTAGCAGTGTTTTGAGCATAAAAAATCCTAGCTATGTGTAGAAATATTAAGAAGGAACGTCATCGGATGACGATGTCGGGTACCGCCGATTAGATCGGTTAGCAGTCGAATCCAACATAGGCCAACACTTAGCAAACATAGGATACCTTAACAGTTTACCACCTTCATGATTTGCATTGTACAGTCAGTGGCGTATTAACAATCTTGCGGGGCGCCCGTCAGTCCGCACGTAGTACTAGCCCTACAAGTATACTCTATATATACTGTTTCAACCCAGTAGAGCATCAAGCAAGAGCAATTCGAACAAAGCTATACGACACGCTGTAAATCCCCCGGCGGCCGCGCAGGCTCCTGACAACAGCGAAGGAGGCCGGCTCATCGACGATACAGTGGTTTAAGGTAGTTAGCGTTACGCGATATTTAAAGCAGAGACCCTGCCGATTCCGTCGGACACTGTGTACTATTATTATTACAAGTTGCTCATGCGCCCTCTGCGACAGGAGGAACCGTCAGCTCAGTTTGTTACGTACAAATTATTGCGCTCAAACATAGCATATAGTGGTATTAGTCGATTTTTTAACAACAGTACAACCTATCCTGATAGGCCGTTTTAACGCAGCTTCACAGTGCAGAAGCAGTGTCGTATGATACCATTGGATTTGGATATCCGACAGCGCTCTTCAGCAGCGGGTACTTAAAAACAAACGGAGATAACTTCGCATTTTTCTGACTTTCATTGCTGATAAAGCTATGTATTATGCCATTTATCGAGCCTTGCTGTTATAAGCACGGGATAGCCACAGACCGGAACAGAAGTTAATAATTATGGTCAGAACTTAGCTGAGTTTGCCCGTATCTCCGATTATCGTTAAGTAATCCATAATTAAACGGCTGGAACAAGTTCAGCCTCGCACAAACGAAATCGACGATATTAAACGATGGTCAAACGCCTAACAATATCATATACAATTACAACTTTAAATGCTAAATACTCACGTCGGGAAGGTATTCCAGTCGCCGAACCGTAAGGGAACGAGGCGGACTCTAATGGGTTGTGATCTACCGGAAACGTAGGAGACGAGTAAACCGCTCGTTGCGGTGTGACGTAAGCTAGAGATTCGGGCGTTGATACTGCGGGCGTCCAGAACGAGCCTTGTGGAGTCGATGGGGACGATGGCGTCGACGCTGCGTCTGATGAAAATGACGTCTGCCGGAAACACAAACATGATTTTAGAAAAATCACCCAGCGACTAGCACTATCGAACTTGTCTGTCCTCTGTCAATTTTTCCCTACCTGTCCCAAAAAAATAGGCGATAGTATACACTACACTGGAGCATAGTCACATTGGCTACTATGAAACTTACTCTGAAGTCAACAGAAACACGAATTTTGACGCTTATATTAACCATAGAAAATGCCATAGCAGTAGATGACTAGTTTAACAGCGTCTTCGAACTGACCTGCTGATGATACATTTTGCATGGAGTCGAGACGGCATACTGAGGGCTGGCAACTGGGCTGTACACCGAGCCCGTGGAAGTTTGTTGTTGCTGCTGCTGCTGCTGTTGTTGGACCTGCTGCTGCTGCTGCTGCTGCTGCTGTTGTTGTTGCTGCTGCTGCTGCTGCTGCTGCTGCTGCTGTTGCTGCTGAGTATCCTGTTGTCCACCTTGATTAGGCACAGTTCGCTGCGCCTGCACAGAGGCGGCCGAATACTGTCCTACGCTGGAGGGATCATTAGCTTCTGTTGAGTTAAGCTGCTCAGGACGATTAAAGCTTGTTGCCTGATGATGTACAATCGTAGAGGGCTGACCCCCACTGCTGTTGCTAGTGGGATACCGCAACACCGTAGTCTCTAGACTCCCTGTATACAAAAAAAGAATATGAAACAAATCCAATGAATAAGTCGGCAGGTAGACTGAGCATGAAATAATGTTCGAACACGACACAGAAAAAGTTCCAAAAGTGACAGAATTGTTGGCCAAGTTAACCGATGAAATGAGCAAAAAGATGAGATTAATAATCCACAATTGGCTTAAGCAGCTTATAGCGCTTTTGACTTTTATATCGACTGTTATTGCTATAAATGGCCATTATAAATATAACTCATAGGTTGCTTCTGCAGGCATAACTCGCAGGATATCTGGGCTGTTTGCATATCGAATGATAAAAAAAAAGCAGCTCATCCTTACCCATGTGCGGCGAATTCATTGAAAGGTCTTCGCCGAGCGTGTAGGCAGTCATGTAAGGATCCGTATTTGGGTCTTGTGTCGTGTAAGCGTCCTGCGAAAAACCACGGAAGTTAGCCCATCGGCTTGGTACCGTCAATGGAGGGCTAAGCTTGACCCTTAGTTCAAGATTACATTATTCCCACATTAACTCTTCGCTACTGATAAAAATCCAACAAAGCATCTAGGGTAACTGGGATAGGAACTAGACCATTTGTAGGACGCAAGCAATCTTTATAGGCTATCTGTTTAGTAGGGCTGGTAGAAAAATGACAAACACTCAAGGTCAGAAGTCATGTTATGATATTTGGCGCGGTTGTCCAATCCCTGAACAGTTCGTCAGTAAAATACGTCAGCCAATCAGCTAAGCATAAATGAAAATGAAACAATATATGATCTAGTTATTATTGGCTTTCTGACAAACAAAAAAAAACAAAAAGACAAAAGGTAGTTTTGCCAATGCGCTTGTCACATGATGGACTGAGTGAGCGATCTCCGTCGAATACTTACCCTTTATGAACCGATCAGTGGCATAAAATGTTCGACCATTATGAATTGCTTTGAAACCATAGTCCGATCATTTCGCTTTCCCTTTAATTCTCTCTCTTTCGCTTCCTGCATAAGCATGTAGTAAGTGTACCTATATCGTTCGTTCTTAGCGGCCGGCGAGTCTCGCTCGAATTAAGACTTCGTACCCGTACCTCGCCCTGATCCGCCAAGGATCTATACGTTCTCTAGGCCGCCACGTGTTCATGTGACAATGATTAAACTATTTTACTGCGGAACAACGATCGGCTATTTGAGTTCGTATTACTATACCAAAACTACTATTGCTCTATGCGCCCGTTAGTTTCTGTACAGATGTGGCTACACTGTTAAAAAAAAAAACCGGGTAAATTTTATAAGATAGGGCGGCAATGTTTGTGCCAAATAATTCTTAAATACGTTTTTTCTAAATGTCCTTCGACCAGTTACCCCACTCCACAATGACATACTATATAGTAGATTTATAGCCGTTGCAAACGAGATCGAATGTACACAACTACAACAAGAATATATGTAATTATACATACTGGAACGGTGTAGTTTTGATTATTGAAGTCGTTTGTGATCTGGGAGCTGAGGTCGTTGTGGAGACTGCCTTGGCTTAGCGGCTCAATTTTCGGTGACCGTCTGAAACGTGAAAACAAACGTATTAGGCATAATTTGGAATATCTCCTATGATACATTTATCTATCTCATAGTCTACGCGTCGGATCAGTGAATGAACCCAAAGCGAAACGGTAGCTGTTTGTATACAGCCGTGTATCTGTGTGTGAATTTGTATACATAGTAAAAAGTTGGCCATTTTACTGTGTAAGCCATGCTAGGGTACGTATTACGTTTGATGCATAGTCAAACGTTGCTCTTCAGATACTAGAGATAGATAAACGCGTTCTATAAGTTGAAACACTTCTGGAGCCCTTGAATTCGGGAACGGAACTACAATCCGCCAAAGTAATACGTAGCAAGTTCATTTTGTAGATGACATAGTGTCGGCGGTACACAATAACTGGTGTCGTTCAGCTTTATTTGGAACAATAACAGGCTCAAGTGTATAACATAGAAAGGTAGTTAATAGAACGCTTTTTAGGCAAAGAGGCCATTTTGAAAGCTCCACTGGCCTGTGCGTTGGCGCACACCCCCTCCGTCCCCCCCGTCCCCTCCGTCCCCCCCAATGAGTGAACAGAACTGCAAAGGTCCTTGACGAAATCGAGCACAAGCGAACGCTACGATTTAGCGTCACTGCACAAATCACAACCGACTGCAGAGTTGTTCGATTAGAAAATGAACGGGATAGACAAGTTAACTCTTGAGTTTTGGCCATATTACTCAGCCTTGCCTTGTTAATGATTACCTAGGCCAGTTGCTGCAATGGCGATGGTAGTTGTAAGAATGGCAACTCAGCAATGTAACTGCCGCAGCGAGTCCCTGCTGGACTGCCGTGTGCCTGTTAGCCCCTGACATAAATGAACGGTAGCTTCTAGTAAGCGAATGTCACCTAATTGCTATTGGGTACATGCACAAGTCGATGCGAGGCGGGTCGTCTAACCGTCTTGTGGTCGGATTCCGTATTGACGTATGTGGGTGGTTCACGATGTCTATTGATGCATAATACTAGAGAGGTTCCTGTGTGTGCGTGTGTGTACACGATTGATTCTGGCGTGCATACGCTCACTAGCGGCAGCAGTCGGCTGTGTGCATGAATGTGCGCGCTTGGGGTGGCTGTGCTTCTTGTCATTAATGCGAGCGTGAATCCACAAGGATCTACTTCGAAAGGATTCGAAGGAGCTGCTCTAGGCAGACGGATCAAGCGACCCGCTGCGTAGTTACAGAACTCCTGCCTTGTTCGATGACGCCGGTCGGTTGCCACTGTCGCTACGGCGGCCACTGGTCGAGAGCGGAGGGTGGTACGGGGGTGGCTGTGTGATTGGGGACGTTCAACTAAGAAGTTGAACGTTGCACAGATGTCTCTTATCTATCCGGCGTTCGTCTCATTTCTCTCGGATCCTACTGCCTCTATCCATCCATGTGACGTTTCTTTTCTCCGCTATTGGCCTCGGAGAAATTCCACGGCAGCGCAGAGAGCGACGGCCGCGGCGGCGACGCCGACGACGACGACGACGACGATGGCGACAAGAAAGACAGGCAACGCGAAATCGAGAGAGAGGGAGCAAAGGGAAGCCGCGGCGCTAAGACGTTGATACCAGTTAACAACTAAGCATTCCGCCCGATGCCCAGGCGATCATACCAACAGAACGACAGAAATGCTGCTACTGCTGCAGCAGCAGCAGCGACGACGACTACCACAAACGACTACCACAACATAGAACATAAACCCTATGAAATATTCGCACAATAATCGAACATCATACTTTGTATGGTCAAATAAATAGCGCGAGATTATCGGCAATGGTAGCACCCACCAGTAAATCCAGAGCGTACGAGGCTTGGAAGAATGAAGAGTGTTGTTGGTTACCAAAATGCCGCGATTAAACAACGGTTCATTGGCGTCTTGTGGCGGGGAGAGAGCCTCAACTTTCAACAACTTTAGACGACTAATCAACAACCGATTGTATGGCGCATTTCTCGAGTGTGGCGTGTAGCACATTTTAAGGAATCAGTCCTTGCGTCAACGAAGAAATCAGCAACGCAACGATTACGTCTTGGTACGAAACAGCACATGACAAACACATTGTGTCATTCTTACTTTTTCAAGTTAAGATAGTTTCATGTGTGGCAGAGTATGTGTGTTGTATAATACTATGTAGACTCAATGGAATCGAATGGGCGCCAATAATGGTGATCGTCGCTGCTATGAAGCCAAACCCAATTTACTAGCTCTTCTGTCTTTTTTTATGGGTGTTTGCTAATCTTCCATCAACATACATATACTAAACGAGGCTATGACGTCGAACTATGACGATTGCTACATGTGTCTTTGGCTTGCCGTTAAGTTCAATCATTGTTGTCACATTAGGAACGGCGTTCTATCAATAGAACAATCAGAGATAAATTTGCAGAATAGGAAATAATAGTAATACATATACTTTTACAAGCACTTCGTTCTGGTTACGTAGAATGAAAATAAGACGTTTTGCAAAGCTTCATGTGAATTAAATAGTAAATTAACTAACTTTGTTGGGTTGCCCTAGCGCTTCCTGGTTACATTGAGTTAACCTTTGAATCGTAGTGGCGTAGTCTATATGCGTAATTATTTTTTTTATTAGCGACGGCAGTTATTACGACTACACTCGCGACACTATGTTCATAGCACCCCTATTCCATTAAGTTTTCACATATGACGTCCACACATGTGCGTGAGTGACACAATACATTAACAATCTATGTTCATAGACGCATATATCGCCGAGATCATGCAGCGTTTAAAAATGACTAACCTGAGATCTTCGGTGACGCCGTGATTGTCTGAGGTTTGCTGCGATGCCTGTTGTTGACCGTTACGTGAGTAGTCTTGCGGCGTGGGCGTGCCCTGGGCCGTGTGACCACCTTGGCCTGTGTGATGCGTAGGTGTATGACTGTTATGGGTCGCGTGACCCAGATGAAGTGCGGTGGGATCAGGAGATGAGGAAGCGGACGCTGTTCTGTGGGAATGATTGTGGCCCAACGCCAGCGGGAGTTGAAGCGGCAGCGGTAGAAGAGGCTGTGTCAACTGGGGTGAACTCATTGGGGAGTGGTCACTGTAACATCAGAAATACAATGAAATTAACAGAAATGAAACAACATTAACAACATAACAATTAGACATGTTGAAAACAACATCTGTCTTTTGAGACGTATTAGTGTGTATCCAACGAACGATTAATCTGTCCTATATAGTGGTGATAAGGACATATGCGCCAACTGTCCTCAGACGCTTTACTTCATTCGAAGACGTATTGTGATCGCGTGCCCCATCAGCCATACATGTGCTCGCTCAATAAACTTATTAAATATATAACTGTTATTATAACGTTTTAATAAGTACCAGCTTTTCTTCATATTTGTTTGTTCCTGGTACCCACCTATGCATATCCTCTTCGTTGTTGCTATTACTGTTATTATTTAGACTGTGACTGTTGTTCGCGTTCAAGTTATTACTGCTTGTAGACATTGAGACTCCTCCGACACCGAGGCTTTCGTCCTTAATCCAGTCAGGACTATCGACTCGCTCAGGCTCAGCGGGATACGCAGCTAACAGTTTCCTCATGGCTTCGTCTTCGTTTGTCACAAAGGTAACGGCTGCGATTGCCTGTCGTCGATCGGAATGAAGCGTGCTTGGAGTTGATATCAAACGTGTGTGTGACTGATACACTGAACTGTACGATACTACCCCTGACGTTGCTGCACCAGCCGGTGCCGCTGTTGTTAAATTCACCCCCGACACGGGAGACGTAAAAGCACCGAATGGCCAACGGATAGACTCTACGCTCCTGTAAACGTTAAGGATATTAGTAATTTAAAATTAGCATAAATACTAGAACTGACCCCCCAACAAATTAAAAAGGTTATACAATCTTGGTGGGTGAAATTGCAAGCGACTACTGCTTTGGACGTAAACAAAGAGATCGAACAAAATAAAGATTTGTTACCTAATTGTCAAAGCAATCCCCGGCTAGAAGCTTCATCAAAAACAAGTAACAAATTTCAGCGCATTGGCACAGCACCCAGAAATGAGCATGTGTGATGAACGTCAATTTGCCAAACCTATATATCTGTATCTAATATATGCTAACAAGCAACACATCCGTATGTTTTAGCATCGTGTTTTTTTCCTCTTGAATGAGAGTCACTAGTGATCTTCTCTATAGCGGAAGTCCTTGAGGCTGATGAGCGACGTAAGGGCGAGATCTCGCCGGAAATCAATCCCGCTGTGGAAGCGATGTTAGCTTTACTTCACTCAGCCTAGCCGGCAGCAGTAAATTCGAAATTGCCTGATGTTTGCATAGTGTCATAATCAGCGCGTATCAAATACTACTATAATAAGTTCATTGTTTCCGTGATGGTGAAGCAGATACGTTCTGCCCACGATGTGGAAGGACATAGCGATGGCTGCAGTGGCAGCCCACGGAGGATTGATTTCGGGCGTAAACACAGTTGGGCTCTTTAAAAGTTACAAATGCTAAAGTCAACGAATAGGGTAATCTCTACGCTACCTCGTCCCCCAACTGTATTGAATTCCTTTCCATATATTTGATCGAATAATTGATACCCAGCGCTATCGAAGTCTATCGTGAGAGAAGACAGCCTCGGAAGTAATATCGGGACGTTTAAAAGGAAATGAAAGTTAAAGTGTTCGAATGAGATGCCGGTGTTCAACAAGGTGAGAGCTGCATAAAAAGTGATCATTAGTTGGCAGTATTTTTTTTTCACTATAAAATCCTGTCGATGGAATCAAATCAAATGCAATTCCTAAACATATATCAAGTATAGGTCGCGTGTGTTTCAACTCGCTTCTTCTAGATCTTACTGTAATCCCAAATCTTTACATTGTTACAAACGTTATTGAATCAACCATAAACGTTCTTTTTCGTTGACCCCCTTACTGGTGCGACCTCCCTATTTGTCTGTTTGCCTTTTACATATGCGCTTAGACACTGGCCTTTAAGTTACATAGCTGCAAGTTCTCGATAGTTACTAGCTATGCTGGAGCAATAGTGTGTTCTATGAGCCCCACGCGTCCGGTTCAAGCTGGTTATGTTTTACTGACAAATCAAGCAATCAACTATGAAAAGTACGCACGACCCGCTGAAGAGCCAAGCATGAATAGCAATAATCGCCACTCATCGTTTTTGTCACCCATCCCCCGCCGCGATGTCGGATATCCTTAAGTAAGTGCGGGTCCAAATAGAACCAGCCGACACCGGTATAATTCGATTTCTATGCCGACCGGTGAGCGAAATGAACCGGCAGGCCAAGCAACTTAGCTGCCGGACGGCAGAGCTACAGCGAACTCGAGAAGACGGCGCCAGATAGGTTCATCGTTAGCGTATCGAGCTTCTTATGTTTTCCTTCCTCTTTCTAGAGAAATAGGTCTACTGCGACATCGTACCCACAGTACCGTATTGACCCGTTGAACGGTGAGTTAGTTGTTTAAGCGGATCGTGTTTGCTACAACGACATTTTGCCCAAGTAATCGCTGGGTGTCGTCTGTCGGTTCGTCACTCGCCTGTTTGTTTGGCCGTCTGCCGCCAGGCCAATCTGGTTGCTTTTAGTCTCTTTGTCACTTCTCTATTTTCCATGTTAAAATGCTGGAACGAGGAACGTAACGCTCTGGTTTACTATTACGGCAGCGAATGCCGGATGACGTAGGAAGGACAGACTCTCAGTTGGCTGATGGAGTCACTTTTGCTGCCATTTATATCCACATATAATGCGTACCCCCTTTATATACTGCAAGCGACAATGGCAGATCTCACTTTTGGCGTCGGTCAGGGCGGCAGCCTTCCATGTATATACCGCGCCAAAAAGACGGATACAGATAGCGACTGTTTCATGTGATAGCAATTGTACTTTTGTTTCCGCAATGGTTGCACAAATGTGTGTGTCGAGCCAGAAGACTACAGCCATAACAGCGGACAAAGCGTTTACAGCATTATACATAACTCGTTCCCTAGTACGTTACTTTATCCATTAGACGAAGCTGCTGTTCGTATGAGCGCGGCCCAACATTCATCGAATCCAGGGTACAGCAATCACTTCTTTTTTGGCACCTTCAGTTATCCTCTCTACGTAAATAAGTCTTCAAATCACACTGTCTCAAGTAGAGCATCAATGACTTGTTTCCGACTAGGAGTCGAACCGAGACAGGGGGGGAGGTCTTACAGGATTTAATTGCAGGGCTTTCTTCAACACGTTTATGAAACAACATGGCAAACAAGCAAGCTGCTAATGACTTTAATAACATTAATTGCTGGTTATCAATTTGTGGTAGTGATTTTTTGCTAATGTTGAAAGTAAAATTAGTTTGCCATCACGCTCGTTAGTTATGGCTGGCATTGCAACGCACCGTAAGACATGCGCGTTAGCCGCCGTTTAGCCTCGTAACTACTTGAAAGACCGAGCGAAGACGGGTAAAGACACGAACTTAGACCAGAGGAAGGGGGGTCAAGGGAGTAACCGAGGCAATACTGAATGTGATGACATATTCTCGCCTTCCCGTAAACATCTACCGGCAGGGAATAATTTTGCGGTGGTGTCAACCTTTGGGATTTGCCTCTTTGTCTGTACCAAATCGTTCTGAACAGAGTTACATATGCCAGTGGACACCGTCCGCTGCAATAAGGCTTCCACATGTCGCCTTTCTACTGTCACTAGAAGTCGAAACTCCATGCACGCAAGCGGACCATTGCAATTGCCATTTTTTTTTTCTTTATCTTGCAACTCTAAACAATCCAACAGGGAATGCAGCGAATCTAGCTAGGCAAAAAGCCGTTGTAAGCGGTAATCAACCATTCGAAGGATTCGACATTCGAGGAGATAAAGCAAAGACGAGCAGACCCTTTGCGAGTTTATCCGGTCACTTACTACTCTATACATCAAACCCTAGTCGACGCGAACCAGACAAGTAACGGTAGCAAAAAGCCACTCGTCGTTCCCTAGACAAAAGAACAAACTTTTAGATTAGCGCGCCAACTCCATTCGCACCCGAGTTCACCTCATTATTGCTATTATTATATATTATCCAAGTAACGTTTAGCACTCCTTCAAGCTTCTTGCTTGTTCTTTACTTTAATCGTCTTGGACAGTTTTCCTCCCTCTGTAGGCAAACTGTTTTTTCTACAACATCGCGTCCACGAGGCACAAAATAGGACCTGACCTATCTGGACGATGGTTACCTGCTGATAGGTGACACAACATGCTACCGTATAGAACAGCCGATATCGGCAGCCAAAGATCGTATCGGCGCAAGTTCAATATTTACTACAGCGCGCCAAAGCAATAACAATAACAGACAATAGATAAATAGAAGCAACGGCATCAGTAAGTAGAAATGGCTTAAATTTTAGCCGAAGTCTTTGTACAGTGAGTTGAGTTTCGTAAGGGAATGATAACGGCATTGGTGTAAATAAACTACACCATTGACTAAGAAAATCTCAACTGATCAATGGGCAATCGACCCTGATGCCTTCAGCGCATCCACGAAAAAGCCGAGCATGAAAAATATCTGTTCCGAGGGTACGGACTAAAAATGTATCTTGGCGAGAGTACGAAAATCAGTTTGCTTATAGTTAGCCCATCGTAGTTCTATGTGGCGTGTAAATTTTTCCTGCCAAAACATTGATGCGTGTTCTTTTCCACCAACCTACCGTTGTACAGGTCGAGGCTAAAGGTAGGTAAAAAGACACAGGGCAACAGCTGTATACAACCTGCACTCAATCGGTCGGTCGGTCGAGTAACTGATGTTGACACATGGTAACTAGCGCTGTTCTGACGTCGGATCATCAAACTATGGCACCTTTTATTTACACTAAGACCCTGTCATGTATTTTATTTATTATTTTTTAAGCCTGCTTATATTTTTACTATCAATTTAATTATTCCCAATATCCCTGGTACTAAGGCAACGCTGACCGGTTTTGAGGCGTAACAATGGTTTGAAAAACGAGCCGCTACTTTCGCGTCAGTAAAACGCTTAGGGGCATTGCAATAACTCTCCTGCATAAAGCCAAATGGGCATTCAATTGGCATCAGCCAGTGAGTGCTAGCGAAACGATGAGTGTGTTAGGAATGGTGGATATGGAGTAGCTAATGTAGCTCTCGTTTCCAGGCTTCTTCAACGTTCCTCGTTCGTCATGGCTCGTCGAAAGTCGTCAGTTTGAATGCTGGTCCTACTGCCGCTTGTGTAAGCTAGGTTTCTCTGCCTGTATGTAGGAGCGTTTGTCTGTGCCTGTGCCTATGTACGTTGAACAGCAATAGAAATATAGCCGCAGTAACAGGCTTAATCGCGGCTCCGTAAAGTCGGCAGAGTTGTTCCGTGTCCCTCCGTGTTACAGTTGCTTGAACAACGGTCGAAGACACGCACATAACGTTAGAGAATAGGCAATGTAGAACAGCTAAATGATCGTACAACCTCTGCCGCGGCAACGCCACAACTGTTAGCCTTACTGTGTGCTACCAGCTTTATTCTCGACAGGCAAAAACAGACCCTCTCGAAAAAAGTCGTCGTTCTTACAAGGACTGTCGGAGTGAGCATTTAGCCACTGCAACGGTCCCGAATAATCGGTCACTTTAGCCATCGAGTCTTGCAGAGTGGTCACCTTGTCCTGTGATCACGCAACGAATCTTATACACGCATGAGTCCACACACTGCCACATCCAGGGCGCTAGTAGAATACTAGTTTTAGTGAAGCTCTCAACACTGCCTTATTAGTACTGTTACTATTATTACTTCTCCCTGTACTACGATCGGAGTAATGGTTCTTAGTAGCGAAAAATTATGTATGTATATATATATATATATGAAACTTTTTAGGTTTGTCTCAACTGCGATTATACTACTGCCAACGTATAAAACTTGTTCGACGTCGCTAACGTCGAATGTATTGACTGCCTCCTGCAGTGGGCTTCTGACGATAAATTACTGGGCGCTTGTTGCAAATTGACAGGTCAGACCAGATCGAATTATTTTTGGGCTCCTGCTAACAAGGCCTCTACAAATAAAGGAAAGCGTTCGTGACAAACGCTTATATGGATCTAGTTCGAAGCAAAAACCCAAATTTAGATAGATTAAAAAAAAAAGAGGCCGTTAACCAATTATGCCGGCAGCAGAATTAACCCCTCAACCTTTTCACATGAACCGAAAAATTCTACGTCGTCTACTCGACCCATCGCCAATCTGCACCTTCTGAACAGCGTTGTTTTAGACTGGAAGGCAGGAAATATTGATGTTAAGTTGCCTGACATTCCGCATCCCCCAAGAACAGTAGGGCCAATGTGCCACCGAGCATTGTCGGAAATTGCAGGATAAAAATATTGGGAAACATGTAACAGCGAGAATGGATTCAGAGACTAATCAAAATAACCTAACAGATGTTGCATGGTAAAATTCAATCCGGCAACTACATTTCTTGTGATGTCTCATACGTTCGAACCATATGGAGTATCATAACCGTCATGCTGGAAGCGCACTCAATACGTCACTGTCTTCCACGGCCGTTGGACATCATATACGGAATGATCATGCTTTAAAAAATATTCTGTGGGGCACGCCTGTCATTGCGAGAAGTCTGTTTAGCTATAACGAGACGTACTAGTTTAAAGCAAATTAGGTAACTGGTCACGAACCCTGTTCAGTCTTTGTGCAGCGGATCGTCTATCTAACACGACCTTGATTCGCCCTTGAAATAACATACAGTCATGGCAAATATATAGGAATACATAGGGGCTTTTTATAAAGTAAGCACGCGATTTTTGAGCCTTTGGCAGGATTATTAAGGTTATTTGGAAGTGGATTTCCTGCATGGCTGACGACTGCCAAACCTCGCCTAGCTCGTTTTTATGTACGACAATGGAATTCAATATATACAAAGCACAGCTAGCTGGGTGTAGGGGGGCTAACTAAATGGTGGGTCTGAAGCTATGGTATTGCCAGACGTAAAAGTCGATACATTTGTCAGCTGGACTCTGACCGCCCCATAGATGAGTATGGCCAATATGATTTTCCAATAAATCCTAGATTAATATGAAGTGCGGACTCTTCTCATCTAGCAGCCCAACAAAACAAGTTGGCTTTGGGGTGCTGTGAGGAACTTGTGATGATGATGATGTCCTCAGTTCATACCACCTCGTCCAGATTGTCCATTGCGCAACAAGCTAGAGGCAACGTCTAGCACGTGGACGGTTCCCTATTTATTATCCATCGTTTCATTACGAAAAGATGATTGACACTTTAAGCCCATAATATCCACGCTACATGCAGTATCGCTGTATGTAAACATCCAGACATAGGAGAACAACAAATCGTTGCAGATGTATTTACGTGAACTGAGCATCGAGTACACGGTACTGCTTTGAAAAAACTATATGTAGTACCTCTGTTGATTGACAACGACAGACGTTGAAGATGCAAATGGTGAGTTCTTTAAGTACTCCATTAATTAGCAAACATATTGAGCTGTTAGCAACGAGTAAGCAACGAACGTATACGCGCGAATAAAGTACATCCCTCTTCACGTGCCTAGTATGCGCTAGAGTGATGGCGTGCTCTAGCTGACGCGAGACCATTTATATATCGCTATTCTATCAGCTGTAGTAGCAGGAGTGGCATATTTTCGTAGCGTACGTCTCAGCTTGTATTGCGTTGTATAATAGAGGCTCATTTCATTGTCGAAGTTGCGCGGTGTCGAGCATAAGTTGCAGAAGGAACCGAAAAAACTCCGTCCTAATGATTAAGCTATCAGGTTATTGGGAACGCTGTTCCTTGTATAGCAAAAAGCCAATGAATAGAGTTGAGCCTAGGTTTTTCAAGGTAGCCTAGCACATTGCACTTTCACCTTGATTTGGCAGCTGAACTTCGTTCTCGTTGTTGTAAATTGTAGAGCGTTGTTCCCTAGACTACTTTGAGCTGCAGCGGCGTATCAATACGCGATTACGCCGCGTTCCAAAGCCTTTATCTATCACCAGACCAAAGGCTATGATCATTTGGTGAATTAGAAGGCACAACTTACTCACAAAAGAGAATCTACTTGCGGACAGCATACCGCCGAGAGATTCCACAACATATGGATAGCATAACAAACAAACACAACTGTCACCTTAAATCTTAATAAGTTTTTACAGATCGCCTCTGTTCATAAAGTTCCACCATTCAAAATCACTTAAGGATGACACACACTAACTGCTTTTGGGCATCACTTAAGGAAGTTCACCGTAATAGGCACGCACTTATGGCATCCTCATTCATTGCTACGGATAAATCCTCTTTAGTTTTTGCCGTGAAATCCTGGCTTTGACTGGCAGAAGTCACAGTGAGGTTGCGGCAGATGATAGATAAACGTGATTCTTTTAAGCGTATATATTCTACGTATGTATGCATGTGGTGGTTCTGAAACGACAGTGACCGGCAGTTTACCTCTAACAAAGGTAGATAATTGATAAATATATAGACTAACTGATAGACGGAAGTAGATAGGAGCAAGGCTCAGTAAGTGAGGTGCAAATTGTGCTCGCGTATATATGTACGCGCACATATGCTGACAGATATGTACACAGGCAGGTATGTTGATAGGTATCTAGACTAAATTACAACCACTGGCTTGTGGTGATCATTACGACTATCGGCAGTGGTCGGTAAACATGAATGGGGGAAGGCGGTTGTGGTGATGGGAATGAACGCAAGGGGTGGTGGTGTGGGGGCGGGGGGGAGCGGTTAAAGCGATGCCTACAGCAGAATACCGGCGGCACCAATGGAGCCTGGAGGAGGCATATCGGGTCACAGTTCGTCGTGGACGTAATAATACTAACACATTACATAACGTCAGGGATGTGTGCAAAGAGTCGCGCCCGCCTGTCGTGACGCTTAGCAGCAATAGTTGTTGTTGCACGACAAGCTACAACGTTAGGCGTTAGGCAGGCGGCGTAGCGCTGCTGCAGGAGCTCGAGGGTCCAGAGACGGAGGTGTACGGATAAGATAGCGGCAAGCGGTAGTGGTAGTAGTAGAAGTAAGCGATGTCCTCCTCGGTGGTATCTGCGATTAACGACTTACGGCTACAAATGGACGATAGCGCTGATGGACGACGACAGGCTGGCGGCCTGCCCGCTGCCTCTTGCACGTTCAACTGCACCGGTCCACTCATTTCTTATTGCTATCTATCACTGCGGCGGCCGCTGCTGCTGCTGGTAGTAGCAACCAGCGGCTGGTGCCTATGGCCGTCGTCGCAACAGTTGTCGCCACTGTCGCCTTAACAGTGGGCAGACGGCAGGGAGGCACGGAGACAGGCCACAGGAGCAACGGGCGCTGTTTTGCCGCCGCTGGCGTTACCAGTGATGATGATGCTGGCACTCGCCAGTGCGGATGGCGTGCTTAATGCCTCTGCTGTTATAGTAGCTGCCGCTGTAACTGGCTTTGCTTGACAACAGCGGGGAAACGCAAAGGAAGATACAACTAGCTCCAAAAGCGCCGGCCAGCAATCCGCAACGACAACCACGACGACGCCGAGGACAAACGTCGACAGGACGCGACAGGATAGCGGCGACAGCAGAAAGAACCGAACAGAAGGGGAGAGATGAATGGCAACCAGCTCGCTACCTCCCTACCCACCAGCCGCGCGCAGTCACAGCTCACCACTCACCACCTTTCCCCCACCCCCGAGTGCCGACACGGTCTCCATCACCGTCGCCGTCATAATCATCACCACGTCGTTGCCACTGTCGTCAAAAGCAGCCTACCGCGCTCTCGATTCGTATCCTCCGCCGGCGTCGCCGACGAAAGCAGCAGTTTCTCCTTCGTGGCGCTACGGCGGATAGGCGGCAGCGGCAGCCAAACACATTGTGTGGTTATAGAGATTACGTTATGAAACGCTACGTTATGACGCTGTTTCACTGCTAATGTTCGCGCGCTTTAGACGAATCGTTCTCCCGTTTAACAAGACGCCCTCTCATCCTATTGTCTTGAGAACGCTCTTTCTGATTTTCCGTACTGGTAGATCTTCGCATTTTGCATCTAGACACCCTCTCTTCGCTCTCACACGCAGTCCTAATCACGCACATGTTTAAGTACGCACACAGAAAAGACACATGCGAAATAGCTGAAGCGTCCCCTTGTAGAGCTATTCTCTGTACAGCAGCGACGCCACCCATGGGGACACCGCGATCATCATCAGCGTCGCCAGCTGTCGTCGGTGTGGGGTTTGTCTCGTTTTGCGTATTCTTTCATTTCAATCATCTTTTTGTCTTTGTTCCCCTTCGTTGAGCTCTGACAGAAAGTTTAGCGGATACCGAACGGCGTCAACAGTAGGAAAGAAAATCGTAGCGATCTACACAGATCTAGCTGCTGCTAGCGGCCAGCTTCGGCCTGCTACGACTGAAAGCGCTAACGCGGGTGGGCTGCTTCCTCACGTTGTTTCGGTCCGGCGACAGTTCGAATTACGGATAGGCAGCTCCGTTTGTCGAGCCACACGGTACCACCCTCAAAACCACGCCACTGTGGAGGTGCTTGTGTAACAAGCCGTGTGATACGAACCTAAATGCACTTCCAGTTGATCGCGGCGACGCAATGACTAGTGAGCAATCCCACTAGCGCGCCATAACTAGCAATACAATTACCGCAGGACATCATAACGTGCCAAGTCCGCTGTTCTGCGTAATGTGAACGTAATATAGCTGACCCCACAATTAGGGGGGAAAACAGTACTGCGTTCAATTTGAGGGACAAAAACAAGTTCAGTGTGTTATTAATTTTTTTTTTTTAACAAACTAACTACTTCACTCACCCTCACTTACGAAATTTAAAGGCGTTGGTAACCCGAAAGAAACGAGTGTGTTTTTTCCAAGGATTCCTTGCTATGGTACTTTTAGGTGTGTCTTCGGGTTTGCTTGATATCAGCTGTAGCGGGCGCTAATTGATCCTCTTTTGGCTTTCCTACTCTTTTTTTTGTTGCAAATCACACAGGGCATTAACACGCATTGAAAGAAATATGTTTAGGCACAAAAATACATATCTGATTGATTGATTGATTGATTGATTAACGGGATAAGTGACAACTTTATCACGTTCATCACTTGAGTCGTGGCGATTGTGTCATCTAACGTGACGATCTGATCTCTATTAGTAGTTAGAACAAAATGACCTTACAGGTCTGGGAGTGACTCTCTGATTCAAGTGTCTACTGTTTTTTCGACCTTTGCAGTTCTTAAACAATAAGCGCGCACTGAGCCGCTCTGACGGTGGGAGGGCAGGGGGGCAGAGAGTCGAGAAGAAGGAGACGATGATAAGAGAGAGAGAGAGAGAGATCCTTCTCTTATTTTTTGTTGTTGGCTTGGGGGTTGTTGGTTGGCGAGTATATATGATGACCCCTCTCATCACCACTTGTAACCAGTCAGCGATAGCTGGCGCCGGCTGCTATTCTTCTATCTGTTAGTGACAACGCCTGGACAACGGCACTCATACCCTACTCATAATAATAATGCCACTATCCTCTGATGGACGTCAGCGGCGGTTTTTTTGGTGCGCATGCGCTCTAAGACCCCGCCTCACTTCTTGTTAACCAATGCCGATCACGGGAGAGGGAAGCTTAGCTGGACCAACGCCGCACAATTCACAGCCACTGGTGGTTTTTCGGCGCACGCGAAGAGCTCGCTGGAGTTTCTGCTGGACAGAAGCAAACGTAAATAAACCTAAACAGTGGTTCGGCCGACCGTGCCAATCGTTATGCCAGCGAGGCTAATGGCGGACCTGAGGGTAGAAGCCGGATGAGCGACAGCAGCAGCAGCAGCAGCAAATCCAGAGATGCGAAAAAATATTGGTCACCAAATGTGTTGACTCGCATATACGGCCTATAATGATTCCACTCGAACATCGCAAATGGATAATGGAGTGCAGGGGAATAGGGGGTCCTTCAGCTCGAACTGCTATAATAATATTAACAATAATTTATTGAAACATCTCTAAGTTCGTCAATGGATCTGTTAAAATTAGACCCTAAGGTCCCAAGTAGGGGATAGCGCCAGAATATGTAACAACAAGTTCTAGAAACTAGATTGATCGCCTTGGACGCTTATGCACGGATGATGCTGTAGTCTCATTATCTACGTTACTTATCGTTTGATTTTTGATGCTGCCTATAATAATAATAATAATAATAATAATACTAGCCTCAGTTTGAACGTTTCATCGTGAAATCTCGTTCAAATATTACGGTAAGTAAAAAGGACACGTAAAGTAATATTTTCAAACTGAAAACTCCCAACTCGGCTCTTCTAATAGGCATAAATAGCCCGGTAGTTCCCCAAAGTGATGTAAATATAATCGATGATGCTATGTTGAATTTTTAGCACCTACTAGAATGTATAGATGTAGCAACTCATCTATGATTCCTATCCATAGAAGGCATTGCAGATTTTATTTTACCGACAAACACTGGCCTCGTCTATTACTGTCACTTCATAGCAAATTATCTTTGTGCTATCATCCACAGGTTAATATTGGTCCGTGTCGACCAAATGGACAAGGTCATGAACGTCCTGCGCAGATACCGACGAACCGTAAAACACGTTTCATCGATAGCTGATCTTTGCGAAGAGAAGGTTACGTAGGTTTGGCCCAAAGTAGGTGCATTTAAAGATGACCATTTACTATGGCAGCTTTTTCTCTGCCCAGTGCTAATGCATTCAGAGCCTGCAGCGCTGGCAAATGCTTTGCCCGCGACCCGCGTGGGACTTTGTTTGGAGATTTCGAAAATGTATAGTTATCATAGTTCATGCCTTCGAGCTGTACACAAACAGATAGGTAGATTTGTAGTGGCGGCAGCTCCGCATGTCTGTCCTGCCTCCGGTTAGCTACAGTAAACATCATCTAAGCAAGTGATTGTATTATAGTTAGGTTAGGTTAGTAATAGGTATCAGCTGCTGGACATAGCTTTGTCAATACAATAGGCTCATCCTGATATAAACTGTATGTATTCTTTATTCAAATTAGTAGAAAGCTATCATAATTGTTCTTATTAGCACAGCTTAGTCTACAATTTATTCGACCTATTCGAATTATTCTATAAAAAGTCCAAAATTTGCCTGATCAATGAATTTATCGTAATGGTAACCAGCATTTGTACACAAGTGTTATCTTTTTTCCTTGGCTAAACAACTCGATTCTGGAATGGAAGCCTGAGAAACGGCTACGACATCTACGGCAGACAGCAGGCGCACAAATTGCCCAATCCCAATGGCATGGCGAGGTAGTGGCAAAAAATATCAATGCGGGACTCTTATGAGGCTCCGTAACTGGAATGAGTACATTCTAAATTCTTTAACGAGGAACTACTGGAGGGCAAGTCTGGTGTCAGCAGCCCCAGTTCCAATAGCGCATATTAAAATTGTCTAAAAAGCTCGTAGTTTGAAAACTTGCCGTGGCTTACACGAGTCCCTGTTGGGCCACCGTTTGTTGAGCGCAAATGTTTTTGCTGACTTCACTGTTCGACTGATAAGAGTTACCAAACATTACTTTGATTAGCTCACTTACTAGTTCGAATAAATTTCTTCATCATGGCAATACTTAGACAAGCTTAAGATCCTCGACTAGCCAAGTCTAAAATAAATTAGCGGCCTAAAAGTAATCTTTTTTTTTATTCGAGTATCTCCCATCTGTACCTTCCTAGTAAGCGTTGCCAGAATTTCACTGTATACGATACAAAACAGAAGCTCAAGTGGCATGTTTTAAGAAGATGCGTAGTAATCAATGACACGTTTTCATTTGCTTGCTGTCAGCGCCATCTGACGGAGCTGCCGTAAGTTTAAATGAAACATCGTAACTCCTACAGAAATTATATAGGAGAAGGTTCTTGATTGAACTTCAGCACGTGCAGAATATCTGGAATTGTTTGCACTTTGGTGGAAGGTATCTTGGCAATGCGATTTTGGATACAAACATCAAAGCTCCTCATTCAGACGTTGACGATGCCTCGAAAAAGTACGTTGGGTTAAGAATAGTGCTAAAATTAGACAAGCAGAACTAATAGGCCTTCTCTTGAAGGAGAACACTTTCCTAGGACAAACGAAGCTCACTTGTGCAACGTTATCTCCTTTAGGGCTCGATTAGGGCTTTTTCAAAAGTGTATTTAAGCTAGATAAGTTAGAAAACGCAAGAATCTGTGGCGTATATCTACCGGTTCAAAGTAGAGTGTCGGTCAAGCGATGGTTGGTTTAAGACTCACGGAAGTGTCCTTAAAGTATTTGTAATAGATCCCATCTTTAAATAAAAAGTGAAAAATGAAAATCTGAAATCAATAATATTGCCGCGATAAGGCTTCTTTTAGCCGTACGGATGTTCCACTATGAGCAGAATGTCCCAACCATTGTTCTAATGTTGCCCCAGAATACCAAATAATTGAATCGATGCGAATCAATAAAGGAAGTCATTTTAGGTAAAGCTATTCTTCTATTCAGGTTCAAGTTAACCACCAAATGTACTTAACAGTTACAAAGTTAAGCAAATTGAGTTACTTATTGTAATTGTAGAAAGCTGTGAAAACTATGAAAAATACAAGGGATTTTCTACATCGATGTAAGCGGTATTTTCCTTCATATATAGGAAGCTGACTTGGAATATCGCTTTCCTTTAGGAGCTTAACGTGGTTTGAAGAGTTGTAAAGTCCTTGCCATCAATCTTCACTACGCTTATAGCGCGTCTATAAATGCAGACAATCGCCTTAAGAGGAACTCAAGCTGTTTACGGTTATTATTGTAAAAAAGAACTCCTCATGATGTGGCAGCGGCAACGAGTTTGCCTACTCACCGGAGGGACACACAGGGGATGGTCCAGGCTCAAATTTGGCTGGACATAGACAGGCTAGAACTACTGAAAATCCCAATAGCCATAGGGAAGGCGATGATCAATGTATTCGCGGGTCCCTTCTTTTTCGCTATGAATATCTATCGCTATTCGATTTGGTTGGTAACGAGCTGCGCCATGTATGTCTGACATCACTCACTTTCAGCTTACACATCAAGGTTTATGGGTTTACTCAACTCCAAACTATACCGCTTCGTATTTCAGTAAAACTTTATACAAATGAAAGCCTGAAGCTGAATTCTGAACCCGAGTTTGCTATTGTTGCACTACCCTTGTTATCCCGTTATAGCTGTCCTGCACGTCCTGTTGTGGCAGTTCTTTTTTTTTTAATGAAAATTCCCGTTATCCTGCTTGAATAAGCTCACTGCGTCACTCGACTCTGTTACTTTGGGTGTTTCTTCGTACAACATGTTTCAGCATTTCAGTAACATTGTTGTAGTAATCCTGTTACTCTGCTCCGATTATTTCGTGCCTGTCATTCGAATATTTCACTGCTCTATTTCTATGTCCGGTTTATACCATGTATCAGGTAGTGCATTTCTCTGTGTCAGTTGTTTTGCGTTTCTCCATAGAGGTTAAATTGTCTTACCTGTTACGTTCATTCCGTTATCTCAGGGTGAAACCCTAGTTTTCAAAATTCTATATAAGTATTGGGCCGCTCGAGACACCAAGCAAGTCATATGCCACATTTTTTTTGTAAAACCTTTGAACACCATATTCGGCCCGATCGCAGACAATACGAAAGCTTTTTTTTTTTAAATGAAAATATCCAATTTTGTACAAAACTATATGCTGCACAAACTCTCTTCTAAACCGTTATTGAAATGACTGTTTCATAAACGTCACCTCTCCTCAGTTCTATGAGAGATTTTTTAGCATTAAAATTATCTTTTCTAGACTTTTATTTTTCACTGTGTTAATAGGTCTCGTCGAGTTACGATCTATACACAAAAAAAATTACAATAGTTGTTACAACCATTTTGCAGACATATACACGTTTTCCAGAAGTTTATAGCATTATCAGTGGGCGCCATATTTGATTATATCGTTGGGTAGTTAGCGAGAAACAGTGAAGCCTGATATTATGTGCAATCCTTGCGTATCCAATTTAGTAGGCAATTTTGCTTGTCAATCGTAGTCACGAATTTGTGAGCCTGGCAATATCTAGCAAAATGGTCTCAAACAAATGGCGCCTATATCAGGGCGACAGTTGCGAAAGTAGAGACGATCATTGCAACTAGTTGTAGCGTACGGGACCCTGTTAGCGATCAAATGCTGACCTTTATCAATTGTTAGTGGGAGATTATCACTCCACTCGAAAGAAATGATACACTCATTGACGCGCAGAACATAACGCGGATAGAACAATATAGTAATGGAGATAGTCTGATATAGCCCCCAATCGGGGTGGAGAGCCTGCCAATAGAAGCGCACCTTCTCTTGTATACAAAATCAGTAACTAACACCATTAGTAGTTGCGCTATTATTTGGTGGTTGTTGGCTTCGGCGTTCCATATATTCCATTCATTTATGCGCTGAGATATATACAGTTTTCTAATAGGTGAAATTGTTCCAACTGAAATCTACTTATACATGTTGCCACTTTTTGACATTTCGCGGCAAGCCCCTTAGAATCGCGTACACTGCACGATCCTGATGCGCATCTTCACATTCTGTGTAGCCTGAAGTGAAGCTATATTATTTAACCTTGACGAACCAATATATAAAAATTACTATATATATATATATATATATATATATATATATGCGTACATGCAAAGCATCGTAATTATTGAACTTGTCGTCCGTCGCATCCGTCCATACACTTTTAGCCATAGCAAGATGAAATAGACAAAGGCGAGGAGTGAAAGCAGTTGGTCTGGGTCTACCGATAACATGTTCTGCTGTGTTGTATAGCGCTACGTTGATCGTGGTGATCGACGACTATTTTGTGATACAGAATCTTCTATCGTAAATACGAGTACAACGATACGGTGATACTAAAACATTGACAACGGCGACGGCTGATGATCTGATAGGGATCGACCGGGCCGGCGATAGCGACGGATAGGCCAAAGACCAGTCACAAATATGGACATCAGCAGCAGCAGCAGCAGTAGCGATAAATAGAGCGCTCTTCAACGAGATAAACGTCGCCAGCAAACTGACCGCGAACAACGCACGACTGAATAGCCAACGACGGTTGCCAGCCCAACAACATAAAACCCCAACACAGTTGAACACTGTCACCATAGATTCGAACGCTGAGCAGGTCGAAACGCGGGTTGTTTTCCGGCTCCCGTAAAAGCCGTAACTTTGCGTCGGTGGGACCACTGTACTGATTAGCCCATTTCCGTTGGCGTTAAGCCTACATCAATAGGCTTTTTCATTGGTAAATTTTGGTGAGTTTGGTAAAGATCCAGCGAGCATTGCTGTGCCTCAAGATTCTGCCAATAGGGCAATTGGTCAAACCTTCAGAAAGTGGCGTAATCGATGGTGTCTGAAAACTCATGACGATCGTAGCTCTGTGATTAATGGTAATGGACGTGCGCGAATATGTGTGTCTACGGAATACATGCAGGAAATGTAAGAAAAAGAGGCTTGGACAAATGAAAAATATGTATTAAACTGTGGGTTAGCAGCGACATTTTGGGATGCTTCGTAATTCATCAGTGGACCTTCATTTTAGTCGAATCGGATACGCCCAAATAATTAACTCTAAATTAATTTAAACTATGTGAGCGGTGATATTACACTCTATAAAAGGGGAATTAACAAGAGTTAACTGTTCATCTGGTAAGTCAGTGATAGGGTTCTTTATGACACATTTCCATAAATTTTCTTTGCTCCTGTGATACCTTCTTTGGTCCTACTTTGGTCGAATACTTACCGAATCCAAAACCTAGCTTTTTCAGCCAAGGCACACTTGTATATTCTGAAAACCGCTTTTCTTTAAAACACTTTTTAGCTTTAACTTCTGACATCCTAAAGCATCATTGGTTAAATGGATTTTTTGAAAAATCTACTATTTTAAAACAACATCATAAAAGTAGTCCTATTGAACCGACCTAAGGAGAACCAAATGGAAATATTTAATGGTTTTTTGTCCTACTTCTCAAAACCTTTTATTGCGGCTAAAAGAAATATCCTAGATAAGCCTTGTGGCTAACTTCATGCAACTTTTTAATTTTTCCGATTTTGTTAATAGATGATTTCCTGAAGCGAACAGAGGCAATGGTATACTTTTGACATTTCTGAACCAAATAAATTTGCAGTACAAACCGTGTCTACTGGATCACACGCAATTTGTATTTTTTTGGCTGACCATCATCCCTAGCTGAGTTCTTTGTTACTAGTGACGAATGTTCGATTATGTGCGCAAGACCGACATTTTGGCCTGCATCTATTCTGCAAATGCAGCCAACACGATTCATAAGACTTTTGACAAAAAGCTTAGGGCTGAATCTCAGGGACGTAGATCTGCAAGCGCTTCGGAACGTTCTCTAAAACGAAAATCTAATTACTATTCATAGCAATTAGTGGTATAGTAACTACTATCTAATTTTTTTTACATTTTGCTCAGTTTTTTTTTAAGAACAACAATAACATGTTAAAATCATCTTAAGAAAATATTTTAATAGAACAGCATAGAAAAATTGGAATAAGGGCTGCTATAAATCGACAAGACAGACCCGACCAAGTGGCGTTGAACAGTTGCTACTAATTATTGGTCATTTTGCTAACATAGGGCTTTTAGAAACCCGATGATTCGGAAATACTATGCAGGGTTTGCGCAATAAAAGCCGATAAGTCTGCGGTGTTTCTATTGCAGTCGCCGCAGAGCCAAAATATCAGCTTGATTAATCCACATGTGGGGCTCTAGGATTGCATCAACGTCTCACATAGTATTGGAACTGGTAATTTTGTCTTCTTTTTACCGAAAGCTTTAACGCATGTTTATACTTTCAGTGGCCTAAGATGTACTGTGGCACTTTCTAGGCATTAAGATCAGGATACCGTTAGACAACCAAAGTAGATCTTTACATCAACTTGCCGGTTTTGTCGAGCTTCGAATTTAATTTAGAGTATCGTAATTTGTGACACCAAAAGAATCAAAAAGAGATGTTTACTAAACCACAAATGGACTTTCAGTTTCACACGTGTCTGACCGTTTTCAAACCATTGAGACATTTTTTTGTTTTCAAGTGTAATATAATTAGTAATTTTACCGATCCGACTGTTACAAGAAGACGTTCGTTCTGGAGAGTTAGATAGCTCCTAAATAGAGTTGTCTAGTTAACTACACATATTTATGTAACGTAATAACGATTTTCAAATGAATTTATGTTGCTTACGCAAAACCTAAATTGCTACGAATTAATAGGAAGAGCTTACTGAAATATCTAAGCGGTGAATTTCTTCAGAGCCAGTAACGGATATGTACTCAGAGCGTCGTCATGGCTATTCTTCCTGCTAATTTCATGTGTGACTTTCTTACATATAATTTGATGAGCAATTGCCCGACCTAAGGAGCATCAGGTGAGTCACTTTTAAGGAGACCTTTGAAATCAGAGCGGGTTGCCTTCCCTTTTGTGAATGCAATTGCGTCATTGAGCAGCTATCTAGTTGTTTTGTTTATTATAATCGGGTTCTTTCTCGAAGAAGATGAAGGCAAAAAAGAGCAGGAGAAGTGGATGTCCTAAAGTGGATGATGGACCTTGCCTATGGGGGTCGGACGGAGGCACTCTGCGTTCATGTTCGGCTCCTGTCATGATCGCGATTTTCGTTAATCAAGGAAGGTAGGTCAGCGCTAGAAAAAGAGAACGATAAAAATGCTGACAAAGCAAGTTAGTTGTTCCCTTCGACAACGTTACCCAAAACCCTGAATATGCAGTGACCATTTAACAACTCTACTGTACACCTCAGGATCCACACCACTTGCACACTGATTCATACGGTACGGGATACATTCACCTATGTTTAGCACAGGCCTTTTGTCAATTTTAAAACAATATTAAAATGTGTAACAGGAGAGTATGTGGAATTTTCAGTGTTAAAGGCCCTCGAATAGTTTTTTTTGGTGCACATTTTTGAGCTAATATAGCGTGAATTACGATAATTCGAAACGTTTGGTTTACGCACTAAAAATTCCAGCTAACATATTAAAAGCTATCTGGTTGCTCTCGTATAATTTGGTGGAGTTATGGTAATTCCATATCGTTTTCTTCTATATAATGCATTGATTCCTAAAATTGGCACACTTAATATAATATTACCACTATTACTATGTAATCTCTCTCTCTCTCTCTCTCTCTCTCTCTCTCTCTCTAAAGGATACTCTGTAGCTGCTAAAATTTCGAAGAAAGCATTGAAAATTCGTGTTCGCTTCAAATTGTCCTCAACTCAACTTTCCAAAATGGTTAGTCAATCTATAGAGTCAGTCTAATAGATCAAACTGGACGTAGTCAATGTACTCGTTCAGTGCCTCTTAGTTTAGATGTTGTTCTTTTATATTGGTTCAATGTTGTAATTAGCTGCTCAGTTAAAGCCTTATGTAAGAATCACTGTCGACACTTACTAGCAATGCCAGAGGATAAGCAAGGAACATAACAACTGCTCTGGCAAGGGCATAATTACCTCGCAGGCTCCATGTTCAGGATATAATTCAGAACGGAACTTACACGTATACATAAAGACTAAATGTTCTTTCTACACTGGCAAATCATAGAACGCCGTTAACGGTCTCACATGGCAACGCAATTAGAAAGTAGAATAAAAATTTATGGGGGATAAACCCTTGTCCTATTCCATTGACAAATCAATCGTTCGTGGATATGCTCAGGTTTTGATTTTCGATCAATATCATATTGGCCATATCGTGGCGTTGCTCGCACCGTTCATGCTAAGTTCAGGTGCGGTTCGTAGTAAAAAGTTGTCCTGGCATCATACACTGAGAAGGCGAATATAACGCGAGCTGGTATACTCAAGCAGCGTTCAGTAAACGGCAAAAAACACCTGGATAGATATGTGTTGTAATTACGCCAAGAAGAAACTGCAGATACAGTTACATCGAATGTCATATTAAGATCTGGCCAGTGCCTTTTTACAAGTCTATTTGGTGGCCATCAGGGTTACCATCAGCTAAAGATTAGATATGTAGGACCACACATAACACGAGACAGCATCAACAGAATCGAGCATAGCACTGACAACTGCGACAAGCGTAGTTTTCATTCCATTTCTTTTTATTAACAAACACCACCATCCCCTCGGCGGAGGGGGGCCACCTGTTTTTCACGATTTGACTTCTTTTCGCTCGGCTTTTTTTTCGAGATGGCACCCGCTCGCTTATACATATTCGTATGTATATAATGCCTCGGACTGCTTAACTGCCGCCGCTAGCACGGTCTGAAAGACGGATACCGTCGGAAAATTGCCAACAAAGGATCAAAAGATGGAAATGTACACTCGACCAATAGAGGAAAACGTGGCGAGGTTTCGTAAGAAAGCTACCTTTCTTTGATAATTTATCTCCGGGCTACTTATTTTATCTCCTCGTGATCTCACGGGCAGTATTCATGTCATAAGCGTAGCTGGAATAACCAACATTCTGTAACATGCTGGTTCTCTCAGAAGTCGACAACAAAATGACTTCTAATGAAAGTGAACAACAACAACAACAACAGTAGCACCAACGGCAACATTAACAACAACAACAACGGCAATAACAACAGCAGCAGGAACAGCAGCAGCAGCAGCAGCAGCAGCAACAACAGCAGCAGCAACAACCATAACAACAACAACAACAACAATGACGACGGCGGCGGCGGCGGCGGCGGCGGCAGCAGCAACAACAACAGCAGTAGTAGCAGCAGCGACTGCAACAACAGCAGTAGCAGTAGCAGTAGCAGTAGCAGCAGCAGCAGCAACAACAACAGCAACAACAACAAACAGAAAAGAGATCAAAGAAGCACGAGCTAGAAATTATGTGCGAGAGAGCGAGAGAGAGAGAGAAAAACATCATATCAGCAAACGCTACTTTCGAGTACGAAAATCACGAGGGACGCCAAAACCATAGTGAGCTTGAAACCGACAGACTATAACTTTAGCGGAGTGATATACAGCGAACGGTGCATGGAACCTTTTGCCGATGCTATAGACGTAAGAGATTTTCCGAGGCTGTCAGGCGGCAAAGGTAGAAAAGCACCAGAAGGAACACCAACATATAGGCACAACTGCGTGTAAAACCTTTGAAACAAAACCCGAAAATGTGATACAGACGAGTCTAGTAAACATAACAACAATTTGAAGAAAGGACATAAATGTCGCCAACATCAAAAAGAATTACCCACTGCTTAAAGTAAAAAAGAGGAAAAAAAAATGCTAAATCTGTGCAGTTTAGGACGTTCCCGTGATCGTGCAGTGGCAACGCGTACGGTTTAGGATTGGTCCGAAGCCGGGATCATAAATGAAAAGAAAGTTATCCAGCGCTAGCGAAAATTTATTCAAAATCCTGCCTTTTTAGGGGTGTTTTTTCATTTTTTTTTTTTATTATACGACCAGATTTCAATGATATAGATGTTACTTGACTCAAGGGAAGAAGGAGTTCAGATATACAGCATATACAGTTGAGCACCATTCAGGTCCGCACAAAATGCACATGGGGTCGATCTGGGTTTCTAGGTTCCAAAAAGAAACAAAACGTACAAACACAACAGATTTTTCCGGAATTTTCAATAAAACAAAAAAAGTAGAAAAACGCTAAAAATGTTTTTTAAATTTAGTCATGTCTGTACGAGTTTAGTATCACTTGGCTAGCCGCGTTTTGGTGTTCGAAGAAGGCTTGCGATCGTTGGGATATCGATAAGCATCAGACTCAACCACTGGAATGCTTCAACTGCTTTGCGACTAAGGCACGGAGCGATAAGTCCACTGGAAATGTCTAAATGTTCTTCCAGACACACGGTACAAGAACATCGAGGGGCAATGTCAGGTTTCGTCAGGCTTATTTGATAAATTGCCCCGAGGTGTGCAAACGCAGTTACGCGACACATTGACGCGCGTAAGAACACCGATATGCAAACGATAAAGAGCCAGCTTTCTCTCCCTTTCTGTACGTTTGCAGATGACTGTGGACCGGCATGAGGCTACGGCGATACTTCTGTTCGATATCATTGACCCTTTCCCGACCGATTTTGCTTGCATAGTGATAATATCGCCTATCTGATGACGATGGCGATCGTAATGATGAAAATGCTGCCGATTATCATAATAGCATGACATTGGTTCGGTAGCCAGTCTTTAGCCTCTGTTTGCGATGAGTCTCTCTGATAAAACGGAAGGTCTTGAACAAACAGCAGAAAGAAAGAGGATTGGGGGCAAATGAAAGCGCGTCAAGCGACTAAATGATGGCATTCGCTGTTACTTGTCGCGGTAGTTTTTGGTTAGTATCAATAAACGATGGAACTCATTCTCTCTACGATCTCTTTATTGGGCTAGTGTTTCCTCAGAGAGCAGACGCCAGTGAGTAGAACCCCGCTCATCGCTCACTGAATTTCCAATCGATAGGCTAGAGGAGAATATGCGCGGCACGCTCGCGCGACCCACGTAACGGGTCTGGAACAGCGCAAACGAAGGGGGCGATATAGAAGACGTCGTTGTCAGTAGACAAACGTTCGGGGCTTTTGTTGCGAGAGAAACACATTTAGCGAACAGATCAGATTCAATAATATGGTCCGAGAATGCTTTCTTGGTCGTCTACAACTGATTTTGATGGTGATAATGTCTGTCTCAGGTCAATATTGCAATATAGCAGAGCGTGGGTGCTATATGTAACTTGAAGTAAATAACCGTTGATTAGCACCGTATAGAACTCGAACGGAGATTCTAGGGCTCGCACAACATCCGCCGATGTTATATGGGTATAGCATTTGTTTTGCGGGACTGATCTCGAGCAGTGATGGCATGGAAGGTTTCTATATACTAGTTCGAAATGGAATGTGTAGGCCTTCAACAACAGGAATACGTTTGGTTTCATTATATGGCCCAGAGAAAAGGACAAAGCAATTAGCCTCAGGTCGCAGTAAATAATATTTAAATACCGTTCGAATTACCATAATATTCTACATTTTTTTGAAAAAATTGAGAAAAATTTGTATTTTGTTATTCAGTACACTAGAGTTCCCTCAACCGCTTAAGGCTAAACTAATGTAACATATTTTTTAAATTATTGTTGTTATTTATTTAAAGGCACCAACGGACGACAATATTACCGATATAAAACGGTAGAAGGCTAATAATATATATATAACGACAAATAGCTTCATAATCAATAGCTTGGGGGGACGGTCTAGTGACCATATCAATTTTATCGTTGTGTACAACTACAAAGAGATTTTTACAAGATCACCATCATAATCATATATAGTTAACAGTAAAAAAATACGTGTTAGTATGATTATGCTAGCTTTTTTTCTGTCCGTTTTTTTACCGGTGACCGGACGTAACTAGCTAAATAGCATGCACTCTGTGTGTATACGAGTGGTAAAAGCATAATTACCTATATGTAATTGTAAATGTTTAGCTGGTAATACGAAGTATTTGTTGCGAATTAGTGTTTCAGATACGCTTCTTTCTTGAGCACAACTTCAGCATAGTTCAGCTCGGGAAAGAATACTAGATAATATAACATTGAACTTGAAGTGACGACGTCGTTAAGTGACGTTGAACGTTAAAGAAGACACAAAGATCGACTAACAATAGGAACGGGCCTGAAAAATCTAAATAGAGAATAGGTACTCTACGTAGAACGTGTAAGGCGCGCTTTAAAGCTGGGCAGTTCACGTGGTTGTACATACTGTTCGGTTGTCCTACTGAAGGCTAAATTATCCAGTTCCAGTATACGGTATGAGCTAGATTCTGCAATAGGATTTGTGTTTTATATTTCATAAAATATAGATATTTCAATAAAAATTAATTTGATTTCGGCCTGCATAAGTCCGAATTTAAATTTACTATTGAAAAGAGAAAAAAAAAAGATGCTGAAGATTGCCGTAACATTCTTTGTCAGGTAACTGTTTGGATACTGATGCACAATATACTGGACCTGTATATCCCTCTTTATTTACTAAACTCCAGCAAAAATATCTTGTTTTTGATATTTTGAAGTAAAAAAAAAAAGAATTACCCGAACAAATAACAAAGCAAGGAACACAGTTATTTAACAGACAACTCAACGTTCTTAGGAGATTACGTAATACCGAAATGTTTCCGTCACCGTAACGAGGCCAAGAAAGTAGCTGCTATGCGGTTTATATTGATCACGTGGAATATTAGGATTAGGTGCACGAATTCATAAATACGAGAAGTTCTTACAAAAGAATGGTTGAGAAATCCACGAATATTAGTACACTCTAAGCCAAGCTTTGTTTGTACGGACAAGCAGCTCACGAGATAGCCTCACGACTGAATGTCTAGAAATCGACTATCGGCTAAAAGATATTTGTTTAAAAAGAACGCATACAGGATACAGAAGTCTGTAATTACGCCCTCCGTAAACTTCGACGTCATACTTACACGGTGCTTTAGCAGACCATGTGTCAACCACTTCAGCCGGCATTTCAGCATTTTGTCTATAAAATAAGGTTACTCTTTATGAGGATTATACGCCAGGTTAGTCAAGCAACTTGTTGATGTTAATTTTTCCCGAAGTAGCTTTTGCTGTTTCATGGGTACCTAGCCGAGAGGTGACGTTTGCTTTGTACTGCTCCCAAGACGAGCAATTTTTACATGCGACTTTTTTTTTTGGGGGGGGGGGGGGGGTCTTTCTTGTACGTTAGATCTATGCAAAACGCGAAAGGCAACTGCCGCTGAGCAATGTGTACGCTGTTGTATTGGCTACTTTAAACTGTTTTAGGTGTCTAGCTCAAAGATATGCTGTTTCTAAACCGAATGCTATTTTGTACATAGTCGCTTGCGGAACTCACTAAGTTAGTAGGTGTACAATTTTCAACCTCGTTTGGGTTTGTCATTCGTGGACGATTGCCTACTTACATCGGTACTTGCTTGCTGTCGGCAAAGCTACGATTAACGGCTTATATATATGTATTTATCTGTCCCTTTGTCTCTCGTACGATTTTCACGGGTTAATGCGCGGGCTTGTCGTTCCTCGCTTTCGTTTCATAGCCGGTTCAACGTTGCCTTGAGCCGTTACAATAACGCTTGTGTTGCAACCATAAATCCCATCGGCTATTAAGATCATCAAGCACTTATTAAATTTTCATTGTATCATATTAATTATCTGATAAGTCAAGTGAAGTCAGCAAATTAAACGTTCGTTAACGAGTTCGGCTAGCATGTTAGCCTACTTAGCCTAGTACACATTTTGTATTAACAGCAGCGTGTCACGCAGGAAAAGTACAATGAGAACTGAAAGACCTGTACCGTCACGTCAGGCCTCTTGCAGATGAATGCATTTCTAGAATACGCTCCTCTCATGAAAGTGTGGACGGGGGCTGGCCATGCAGTTGTGTACCATCGTTGGCCGCCAATACGAGAAGGCGGACCGGACGTGACAAGCGGAAAGGAGATGACACTTACTTACAAACGCCCAAGAGCCGCCGAGAGGCTCTTGTGACTGTGGACGGTCAAGAGACGAACAAAATGGTGTCTTTTCGAAGCACACAGAGGGGTCTCTCCCCTTTCCTTTGAGTGTATTGCCATTTCATCGTTGTGCCGTCCGCGTTTTCCTGTTATCCTTACATTGTGTGAGGCGGTCACGATAAGCGGCATAACGCGCCAACGCTGTTTGGCCTGCTTGCCAGATGAAAAGGTATAAATAACCCAACGCTGTCGGGTATATAGATGTCATAGTGGTTCGAGATAAGACTTCGAGAAAAGCTGGAGTGCCATGGGGGATCTATTCATTGTCGGATCATGCCTCTGCTACGCAGTACCGTTCGGAGATGAACTACACTCAAAAGGTCCAAGAGACTGACATTTGGCTAAAGTTCAACCAGTTCGAATGTTGTCGAATCAAAGATTTTGAAATTTTATCAGAAGTTAAATACCCTCAACGAGAACTACTGTTTCTGTTAATAACTCCAAGTGACACTAATCTTACGACTAACAAAAACGTATGATAAGTATCGGTTTTAGAAAAACTTACAAACCAGTATGTCAGGTTACTGTGTATGCATGTAGCGCCCCACATCAATTACATACTTCCTTCATGGTGTTGTATTGAGGCGTCTGCTTACCCTAATATTCATTAGGAATTTGCCTGTTAACCTTCGAATAACGTCGTAGTCTAGGTTCGAACCTGGGCATAAAGATACAGTCCAGTGGGACTTAGTCACGTGTTCACGGGAATGTAAAGTTCGAAACGTAGAAAATAACGTGAAATGATCTAGGTTTAAAGTGTTCCTGTCACATTGACACGTCCCGCTGCACGTCCAGTTATAGCAGATGCGGTGTTTGGTAAACCTTGGCGAAAATACGTTTTGTTTCGTAATGGCGCTTAGGCTTTTAAATAAACAGTATTAAATTCGAAACAATTAATTGCTAGATAGACAAATATACACTGATAAAAAGAAGAGAAATATTTACAATTTGAACATCTTCAAGTGGCCAAAAAGGCATCTTCTTTGTGCACCCTATTTTTAGCATGTGAATAATCTGATTGATACTTTGATATAATTTGAGAAATCTGGCTATTACCCAGAAATGCTAATGTTTACTTTAGAATGCGCTTTGTTGGGTGTGGGCCCAATATTTCCACGGGCGATATATATTTATGTTGACGTGCGAATGAGGTTCACATACTACGAAGTTTGTCAATATCACACTAAAGGTACTGGCGTCTTTCAGAACGTATAATTGGTTCTATATTCTGTTTCAATCGGGGTAACTGGAACACTTCCTATCGAATCCACTTAATGAGGACTCATACCACCTCTACATGGTCAGCGAGGCGCGCTGAATATATAGTACCCATATATATTCACATTTATTATCTAGAAAAATGTGAAGGTACCAATGTAAATAGGTTTCGTTTCTTGAACAGCAATTGGAGATGCCGCACTATCTTATAATATGACTGGTTTATCACTATAGCGGCTATGTTTTATCTGATAATCGTTTATCGCAATAAAAATCAGTAGTAGCGTTTCACCCGACCCTTCCGGTAAGTTTATTCAACAAGTTAGTTTCTTTTACGTTATAATAATCAGAAGTCACTAACAAGATGTTTAAATCTAGTGATTCACTCTGACTTAAGGCAAAGTTAAGACGACCTCACTTTATCATCAAAAGAACTTCGGGAAACTGAGTTTCCGCTTTTACGTTCGTTGTGGTGATCTTTTTAAGTTATTACCGGGTATACCCTCATTTTACGCTCAGCTTGCTCTGCCGCACGCGTT